AACAGACCTAGCTTCACCAACATTCATCCGCCCTTCTTCAAATCTTACAGTCCAATCGTAAAATTTCCTCTGGCCGAAACGGTTATCAAGATAATAACCTTATCTCTTATTCTTATTGAAACTTCATTAGGCCCCACACACGCTCTGATCACAGACCGTTGGTAATCACTGGTAAATTCTTTCAATAGGACACCCACGCTCAAAACAATGCAAGCCATTTAAATGCAGGAACGTGCAAGCCGTTTACATGCGCGATCTATTTCAGTAACGCCGCCATTAATTTCTATTGTTCTTCGTAATACCGAACCAACAGCTAACATGAGATCGAATTTACTTCGGTCTCGACACAGGTTACCGTATTTACACATGTATAGGCCGCATATTTTTTGCCAAAAATTCAAGAGGAAAACTGGGGTGCGGCTTATATTCGAAATCACACTTCATTTTAAAAAAATATATTCATAATTAGTAATACAGGGTGTTCTACTCCTGAAATAATATTCCAAGAAAATTATTTTTTCTATAATTTCTGTCTGAAAATTGTGCTGCGGCCTATACACGCACGCGGCCTAGACATGCGTAAATACGGTAAGTCAGTTATAAGAGAAATATACTATTATGCAGAAAGAGCGAGATTGTGAGTTAGGTGCAAGAAATTAGAGACAAAATATACTGCCGTACCGTTGCATAGAGGTTTTAATTCTTTGCAACATTGCAGCATTTACATTGGCTCCTTCCGCTGCTATCTTGTTCTTCAGTTCATGAATATTTCTTGGTCTACAAATATAGCATGCAGGTGTAAAAGTAAGTAAGTAAAGGTATCCCTGTAACATGCCGTGAAGGCCCATAGTTTTGTGAGATGTTGAGGTTCCCACATTTTCTAGACAACTGGCTCAAAGATGGCGGTAAGGTTGTCAGCCTTACGCGCTGGTCGCCCTTTGCCCCCAAGAACATTCATGATACTCATTTCTGTTATAGGCTGAGTCGACCCAAGGGTCATAGTGCGGCTGGAAGGATTAGGTCAAATGAAAACAAAAATTCACCTCACCGGGATTCGATCCCGCGACCTTCCGACTTGTTGTATAGTGCCTCAATGCAGGTGTACCCATAGATAAAATTGATGGATATGAAGTCCGGAGACTTGGTCGGCCATACACCTAGACCTTTCCGCCCTATCCGGTTGTTTGGGAACGTCTATGTCAGATATTGGAGTACAACAATCGCAAAATAGGGGAGCGGGGGAATCCGGTTGGAACCAAAGCTTCCCCCAGCGTGCCATGGGAGTATCTTGTAAAACTGGGAAAGGGAATATTTCCAGCGCGATCGCAAACACTTCTTGTCTGCTTGAATTTATGTAGGAGTCTCGATATGGTTTATTGGTTAATTGGTCTGTAACCTGGTTGTCTGCTATTGAAACCGTCTGCAGATGCACGCTGGGAAATATCCGGCCTTCCAAGCAGCTCTTCTTCGACTTTAGCAGTTCACGGGTACTCCATTTCCGTATCTCACCTACAAGGAAAAAAGAGCTTTTATAAGGTAAAATTGTCCTTGTGCTTAACTAATTAAGCACTACGCCATGAAGACGTATGGGAAGTCGATGTATAGATCCACCTATTCTTGACTTCGGCACTAGTTGGAGGTGAGTGGTCAGCTTCACGCCCCTGTCGGTTTACACCCGGGGAAAGAGTCTCTGCTATCCACTGGATAAGAGGTTGGGTGCGCCCCAGAACCTGTTTGAACGAAGTGTAGAGGACTCGAACTCCGATCCCTCGGGCGTCCATCCCATAGCCAGTCGATATACCGACTGTGTTATGCTGGCTCAGAATTGCTATGATCCAGGGCATAATGGTTAAGAACACATGCGCAATCTTGAAACTCTTAGGTAGGCCGCACACTGGCATGCGTCAAGACATGCAACAGTCAAGACACGATGTCTGCGACATGACGCAAAGAAAGGAGCACTGTTGGAAGGAATGAGATTATGAAAACCGCCGCACATCGGTCTGAGTCATGACGCTGACGTCAGCTTCATGCTAACGAATCATGAATGAAGCAAGACTGCGTCTTTTGGCTCATGTCTTGATGCTTGTCTTGACGCAGTTGGTGTGTGGACCGCCCATGTTCTCCGAACTGAAACCGACTTGCTCACTGCACAGTCAGTTGTGCTATCCCTGGGCCCGTCACGCCCCAACAGCTGCGGCAGTAGGAACGCTGTTACGTTCTGATGGCAGTCAGGCGTCAGAGATTGGCTCAGTCGGGTGAGTAGGTGCAGTCAGTGTGTCATTGTGTTTCAGGATAACAGTGCAAAGGTTTGTCCGTTGTGCATTTTCCAGATGTGACCTTCGCAATTTGTATACCTTCATGTAGTTCAGAAACGTTTGAATACAAATGCGTTGTTACAAAATCACAAAGCAAGAAAATATATTTTATTGTTCTTCCATGAATATTCGCCGTATGAAAAAAGTGATTCATTAAATGCTGTAGATCATAGAGATCTGTAATTCAAGTTACGCACAAGTTTCTTGCATGATGAGATTTATTTTTTTTTTCATAAAATTTATAAAGTTTCAGCTGTGCTTCATGTAAAATAGGTTGTACTAATGCGCAATAAAACTGTGTCTGCCAGACTACGTTTAGTGCATACCCCCCGTGCCATTTTTAAACGAAATCCGTTCTGTGCATTCAGAGACAACAGTCAGACAGGAATGACTTCACCACAACGTGCGACTGCCAGCTTTCCTTCACTCTAGTGTCTACTGTCAATCACAGAAACATCATTATGACCAGAGCCACATAAAGCTAAAGTCTAAGGACTAAAATACCACCGGAAAATTTTACATGACCTGCTGGAGCAATGAGACCCCCATCTTATTACAGTCACCAATCATTTTGATTATGCATTATGGGAATTCTGAATCAGGGACCGGGGTGACTCAGCTGATATAGCAATGGACTGCTGGCCACTCATCCATACGTCTTAATCGCGTGGTGCTTAATTAATTAAGCACAGGAACAACTTTACTTTACCCTGCGAATTTTAAGCTTGTTAACTGAGAACGTTTCAAAATTTAATACCTGGGAATAACCCCGACAATTAATAAAGGTGGTGTTCGTGATGAAATCAGAATAAGAATAATTTTGTGCATGCTTCAATATGAAAACTTTTTATAATTTCGCTCATTCTAAAAATCACTGCTGATGAAAATACAAAAGAACAATAATTTTTCCAGTCGTTTTGTGTGTATGTGACACCTGGTCTCTTAATATAATGGAGAAGCATATATTCAGCAATTTGAAAAAAAAAGTTCTGAGAAAAATGTTTGGAGATGCCATTTATTGGACTTTGTCCATCATTTAAAATTTTGAGAGAACACGCAGTTTCGTGAGCTTGACCAGTGATAGAGACAGATTTTTCCCAATGGCCCAACCCAGTAGGTTACTCCCCAACGTTTTTATCTAAAAACAGAAATAGACCCACTCTCCGAAATGTGTGTGAAAGGTAAAAAAAAAAAAGGTAAAGCTACCCCTGTAACAAGCCGTGGAGGCCCATAGGGTTGTGAGACATCGAGGCTTCCACATTTTCTAGATAATCGGCTCACAGATGGCGGTAAGATTTTTAGCCTTACGCGCCGGCCACCCTTTATCCCCAGGAAGATTCCTGATACTCATTTCTGTTAGGGGCTTAGTCGACCCCAGGGCCATAATGTTGCTGGAAGGATTAGGTCAATTGAAAAGTCCATCTCACTGGGAATCGATGACGTGACCATCCTGCTTGTAGCGTAGTGCCTCAACCAACTACGCTACCGCGTGTCGCTCCGAAATATGTTCACTCACAATACTGTACATGACCAAAGTCCAGAAAGTTAGTAACACCAAGTGTACATAAAACGTCATTGTCAAGACCCTTCAGAAGTAAAATGTTCCTACCTGAAGTGGATTACGTGGACGTTTTAGAATATCATAGACAAGGAGACATGTGCCTAGGATTGACGGGACATACAGAATTTTAGTGGGGAAGTTTCTTGGGAAAAGTCCTACTGGAAAATGAAGGAAATAGGAAAATAATATTAATATTGGATTTATAGTGCTCCAGACTATTGGTGTTTGGGTTCAAGCTCGTGCTGTCACTTCTAATATATCCTTCCGAGATCAAGCCCAAGCACCGACAGTGCACAACGTGGGTTGTGAGGATGTCGAGTGGAAAGAACTGGCTCAGGTTGTTGTACTATGGCGGGTTTTGTATTAGCCTTCCTGATCTTTTAGGTCCTGTCATCACGGAGTATTTTATGGCAAGGGGAGCAGTTACAAGTTCGGACATCTGCGACGATGATAGCCGCCTCCTTCTTCAGGGTAGAAAAATCCGCGAGCGAGGAATCAGCGTGGGCAGGTGGCTGCGGACTCTGTCGATAGTAGCCTCCCCAAAGAGGAACACCGTGTAGGATTTGAGGTCTTCACGGCGTTGAAGAATGCAGTCTCCTGGTATATGGCGCCGTGTAGATCTTGTGTAAACCGACGTTTCTGAGGAACGTATCGCCTCCATCTTCAGGATAGAAAAACTTGTCACCTGATCACGCTGGTTCCTGTTTCGCGGGTTCTTCTACTCTGAAGATGGAGGCGATATGTTCCTCCGAAAAGTCGATTCACACAAGATCTACACAGAGCCACGTCCCAGATGACGGCATTCTTCATAGTCACCTCCGTGAAAACCTCAAACCTCACGTAATTTTAGATCACCTAAAAATTATGTTAGTGCAGGAAAGGGTGACAGATATAAGCAACACGAATTTTCCACAATTTCCATTCTTCTCTTTTCAGTGGTAACAGTACTACGATATAACATGGCTGCTAGAACGTAACACAGAAAGATCCACGATTCATACTGTTATTCTGTGGCGAGAGGATGTGAAAACGAGCGTAACTGACCGAAGAATTACAGATCAGTATAGCGATAAGTGTATTGATTTGTTAGTAGATAGAAAGTTTCTGAGGAGAACGGAAGAATATTTGTAACGAACAGAGATTAAAATTGCCTGTGTTTAAGCAATTAAGCATCACGCCATGAAACCATATGGAGGAGTGGAGGTGACCTTGGCATTAGATGGAGGTGAGAGACCAGCTTCACTCCCCGGGCGCTTCATCTCCGAGGAGAAAAAGTTCCCGGTACCCATAGGACAGGAGGCTGTGTGGGCTTCAGAGTCGGTCTGGACACTGTGGAATACAGAATAATACCTTGTCCCCGCCGGTAATTGAAACCCTGCCGTGCAACCTGAATCCTAGTCGCTACACAGACTGAGCTATCCCGACTCCTTTTGAAATGAAGGATAAAGAAAAGGTAAAGCTATCCTTGTAACAGGCCGTGGAAGCCCGGAAGGTTGTGAGACGTCGAGGTTCCCACATTTTCTAGACAATCGGGCCACAGATGGCGGTGAGGTTGTCAGCCTTATGCGCTGGGCGCACTTTATCCCTCAGGAAGATTCCCGGTACTAATTTGTCAGAGGCTGAGTCGAATCCAGGGCCATAGTGCGATTGGAAGGATTAGGTCAATTGAAAAATCCAATGAGAAAATCGGGAATCGAGCCCGTGACCTTCCGGCTTGTAACATAGTGACTCAACAAATTACGCTACCGTCACGGCTGAATCCTTGAGAATCTGCCAGTCATTCAGCTATTCAACAATTTCCCAGCGCGTTATGGAACCCGAAGTTTCATTATCGTGTTCACAACAGTCCTCCACTGGTCCCCGTCCTGAATCAGACCAATCCAGTCCATACCAACCCACATTATCTAAGATCCATCTTAATATTATCCTCCAACCTAAATCCAGGTCTTCCTAGTGGTCTCTTCTCTTCTGACTTTCCCACTAAAACACTGTATGAATTCTTCTTCTCCCCATACGTGCTACATGCGTTGCTCATCTCATCCTCCTTGATTTTATCATCCTAATTATATTTGGCGATGATTACAAAGAAGCTCCTCATTTTACAGTTCTCTCCAACCTCCCATTCTTTCACCCCTCTTCAGTCCAAATATCCTCCTCAGCACCCTGTTCTCCAATATCGTCGGTCTATGTTCTTTCCTTAATGTATGAGACCAAGTTTCACAAAGGGCCGCGCCATAGCTCAAGCGGTTAGTTGCTGGGTTCCCACGGTGGCGGCCCGTGTTCGATCCCGGGTCTGGTCAAGTGGGATTTGTGGTGGACAAAGTGGCGCTGGGGCAGGTTTTCTCCGAGTACTTCGGTTTCCCCTGCCAATCTTCATTCCACCAACTGCTCCACAATCACCCTCACCTATCATCTGGGGATGGTACAATAGGCCAGAAGTGGCCGCAGTACAAGGGACTTAGTCCCACCCCACTAGCATTAAAAAAAGCATGTCTTTGTATCTTTCCTTCTAGTGACAAACTTTCATCTGACCGATATATTCATCAGCATATTTTACTGCCATTATTACATAAGTTTCACACCCTCTGACCACAAAACTCGGATGACGTATCGTTGTATTTGCTTCACTCTGCTGATGGGACAGCCATATGAAATATGTCATAGCATTATCACTACTGATAAGACGATAACCAGCTAGGTGCAAATGAGAGCAGGTTAGTTGATCACTTTTTCCACTGTTGTCAACATCGCTTTAGAGGTAAAGTAAAATTTCTAGTAAGTTTTGAATTTATCCTCGGGGAAATTAGAACGCCTCCGAGGACGAGCTAGTGTGAAGCTTTTCGCGGGGCGCATTTGTTTATCGGCTCTGGTTAATAACCTTAAAACAATACTATTGCTGTATGTAGACCCGTTGCTAGGCAACGACCGAAAACAAACAACTAGACAACAGCACGTAAACACCAACAGAGGAGCAGTGTTTTCTGTGCGGTCCATGCCGAGATGTTATAAGCAGAACAGTTAGTGAGGAATGAGTCAGTTGAGCGGAGTGCAGTGGAGTAGGTTCGTTGGTGAGTGAGTGAGTTAGAGGACTGCTGCGGTACAGTCGTTGTGAGCTGTTGCTGTTAGAAGCTGGAAGCTGAGTCACGGGGACAGTTCGGGAACCCAGAGGAAAGGGAACGTCTGCCGTTACCAGAAAACTGTTGAAAACAGAACAAACTGTGAAGACTTAATTGTGTGCTCCAGCGAACTACAGAGTGTGTGGATTAGTGATATAGCTATAGTTACTAGCAGTTACGACCTTTAAACGTCTAATAAATCCGATCACCAATCCAAAACCACGTCTATAGTAGCACTTCATACACGTGACAATATTTGTTTTTCGTGAGTCAGAGGGATTGTACAGAATATATAAAAATCCTTCTGTTTTTATTTTTATTTTGCTTTTCTTTCTTGAAGAAAGAGTATATACTTAGACTATCGCCCTCCTCTCTGTGTCTACCTTTCAAATTTGAGTCAGTCAACAGATTTCCACGAAATTCGGTATTAACATTATGCCACACCAACTTCTTACTTTTCAGTTCTCTGGAAATGACAACATCGTCAAACATCTGAGCAATAGGGAGTATCATTATGGAACTTAAACCAGGGTCCAGACGGCAAAGTGATCTCATAAGCCTCCTTTCATTTTTTCAAAATAAGCATTTAGTCTAAAAGGGAAGCTCATTCTTATTCATCTCTCCTCTTTAATTATATTCAACAACTTCCTATTCCATATATCTTCATAAGAAGAAAGAACAAAAATGTCTTGTCCCTGCCGGGAATCGAACCCCGGACTTCCAGCTGGTAACCCACCACCATATCGACCGAATTATCTCGGTTCTTTTATATAATTGTAGACTAAGGAATAATAGAATACCCGAATCCGCTAATGTTTGATCTTAATAATCATATTGACACTCTAAACCATGAGCGAAAATTCATTTTATTTGAGGTTATAAATTTAATGTAAGTTAATGTGACGTTGACGGTAACAGATACGTATTTTTTTATTGCTAGTAGGGTGGGACTAAGTCGCTTGTACTGCGGCCACTTCTGGCCTATTTTACCAGCCCCAGATGATAGGTGAGGGTGATTGCGGAGCAATTGGTGGAATGAAGATTGGCAGGGGAAACCAAAGTAGTCGGAGAAAACCTGCCCCAGCGCCACTTTGTCCACCACAAATCCCACTTGACCAGACCCGAGATCGAACCCGGGCCGCCGCGGTGGGAAGCCAGCGACTAACCGCTTGAGCTATGACGCAGCCTATAGATATGTAAGACTAAGGGCACGTACACACAGCGACATCGGTCGTACGGAAAAATGTCATGATTTTTTGCCGTACGACCACCTTTTCACACTAGAGCGACTTTCGCAATTTCGTAACAACACTACGATAAGAACTAATGCAATGACGCGTAACAGACGACCCAGGGTTCCTACGGATGAAGTCGCGTAATGTGAATCACAGAACTGGACTGCATCACCCACTGAGCCTGCGACAGTCGGACGGCTGTCGCAGTCCGTGTGGTTTGGTCCGACTGCTCTCCGACTGTCGTACGGTAGATGTCGCATGTCGTCACGTATGAAAGCTAAGACTACACTTTATATTCTACTACTTGATGCGACATGAACCGTACAGACGTCGTACGACAGATGTCGCTGTGCGTGTACGTGCCCTAAGGCTGTGCAGTAGGAAAATACGCTGTATAGGTTCTGCGTGGAATTTCTTACCTAAATTATTTTTCCTTTTCTACACTGGTAAGCCTGATCACCACTCAACAACCAGCTTCCATTTTTATTGAAATATCGCAATATTTGCGTCATGGCCAGTTAAAACGTGCACTTAAACTCACTATAAACAAAGGAGTTTCCATTCTGACATGAAACATGGGACTTCCTGTCAAACGTGTCCTTACGTCCTTCGGCTCCTATGTAACGTCAAATAATTTATATTGCCTGCCACACAGCAAATGTGTTCCAGACACGTTGAATTCAGGTTTACAGACATATAGACTAATTTCTTGAAGCAGGGTTTTTTCAGAAAAGCTGATAGTAATTTAGCTAATCACGTAATGTCCGCCTTTTACGTAACCCAGAACTTCATTCCCGTGACCACAAGGCTGACTTGAATTCAGTCTACATCCGCATACCTCATTTCTTCAGGAGCCATTTTCATATTTTCGTCCCATTTCAACTAGGTACCTCAAGTCTTTCCCATTCAAGTTTTATAGATACGGATAACTTCCGTTTCTATGCAACGGCGCTGTAAATACAAAAATAGAGCAAGCGGCGTTTTCTATAGGTCCGCCTCGAGGCTATGTAATTAGTACAGAACAGAATTAAATCAGAATGAGAACGAGAATAAAGCGAGTCAAAAAGCAAGGGTTCGGCTGAAGATTGTAGAGAGTTATTGTAAAGGAGTGATCAATAAATCCAATCCAAAACCCGTTATTATTAGTCACGGAATCATAAACACGGAACAATATTTTGTATATATATGGCCACAAAGTTTTTGTTCAAAATTTAGAGGATGAGTATGAGTCCAAGCGTCCTGCGACTATAAAATATGACCATGAGTCCTGAGGGGTCTCCGAACCAAATATGATTCTGCTGGCGAGTCTCAGCAGCAATTTACCTGACGGAACGTTTAAAATTTCAGAATACGGTCGTAACGGTAATTGGTCTGCTCTCACCTAGTACTTTAACCCAGTCACCGTCTTGGCAATTACCACTCATGTTGGTAGGGGAGGGGGCGCCAGAATTTTTTGACTTAATTTCTTTCAGAATTGAAACTGAGAGAAAAGAGTAAAATATGTGACGCCGTCATTTCATATTCGGCTCGAAGTAGTTCCTCCTGGCGATGACATTCCTTCACATATAAAATAAGTTTCGCGTCCTACTCATGCAACGTCATCCCTCCGATTTTATTAGCTTTTATTAGCTGACGTAACATGTGCCATTCTATCAGATTTTGAAGTTTATTAATTGAATATGAACTCATTTTGTTTATTCGTTCATTCATATTTCATTTCATTTACTGAATTCGTTTATATGACAGCAAATAGGTTAGCTTGTCGCAGCGTCTTGTGCAATCATTACATTACTTCAGTCATATAGCATTGTTTTGGTGAGTTTTCAAGTCGTTTCATTGTTGATTCAGCAGAACAGAAAATATAAAGATGTCCATATCCTGTCTTATTTGCTTCGTATGAATACAGCGGCGAGACAGAATGGTAAATCTGGCCAAGTATCCGGAAACGGTAAGGACCATTTCCATTTGGCGATTTAATCTCTGCACAAATCTATGCGAATGCCATTGCTGAATTTTACTCTAGTATATGTTCTCTGTGGTTAGTTGCTTCGCGCCTGTCCCGTCAAGTGGCGTCTCCAGCGGCGTTCCCGCGAATTTACGAAGAGCGGAAACATACCTAAGCACTTAATTTATATATATTGTGGCATGTAGAACCGTTGCAGGGCAACGACCGCTAAATAAGCAATTATACAACAGCCGTTACTCAGTAACGGCTTTGCAAAGATACATGTTCCCAAGTTAACAATGGCACAGCAACAAAGGAACGGTGTTTTCTGTGCGTTTCGTGCCGAGATGATATAAGCAGGACAAGTCTAGAGTGAAGTTCAGTCAGTTAGTAGAGTGAAGTGAGTCGGTTTGTGAGTGATTGAGCTAGTCACTCAGTCAGGGTAGTTGAGTTCAGTTGAGTTGAGTGAATCGGCCAGTGAAGAACTTGGAAGCTGTTGCGAGAAGCTGGCAGTTGAGGCCGGGGAGAGTTCGGGAACCCAGAGTAAGGGGAACGTCCGCAGTTGGAAACCGCTACCGAGCAACAGCTAGGGAAGACTGAGAAGACTTTATATGTGTTATGGTTACAGTGGTCTTTGGAGTGTGTACAGACTTAATCATTGGTCTATAACTGAATGCAGAGGAAATTAAATATATGTTCCAGTCCTGTCATCAGGATGCAGGGCAGGATTATACGTAGTATAACGATAACTAATAAATTATTCGATGCGTGGCAAATTTAAGATGTTTGCAGTAGCAATTCAAAACTGCATTTGTCGAAGAAATTAGGAGCAGATTAAATTTGGAGAATGCCTGCTACCGTTCAGATTAGTTCATATGTTTTTTTCCGTCTGCTATCTATAAATGTAAGGGTTAAAATATGTAACATTATAATTTCAATATTCGTTTCGTTCGGATGTGTAAGGTGTTTCACCTTAAGTAAGTATCATAGATCGAGGTGTATAAGAAACAAAGTAAGGTAAAGCTATCCCTGTAACAGGCCGTGGAGGCCCATAGGGTTGTGTGACGTCGAGGTTCCCACATTTTATAGACAATCGGCTCATAAATGGCGGTGAGGTTCTCAGCCTTGCGCACAGGGAGTAGGGTGCTGAAGATAATATTTTGGATCTAGGAGGGAAAAAGTAACAGATAGGTGAAGAAAATTTCATATCAGAAGCTTAATTAGTACTGTTCATCTAATATTTGCAGGGGCACGCGGCAGCGTAGTTGGTTGAGGCACTGTGCTACAAGCTGGAAGGTCGCGGGTCTGAAACCCGATAAGGTAATTGGATTTTTCAATTGACCTAATCCTTCCAGCCACACTATGACCCTGGGGTTGACTCAGTCTCTAATAGAAATGAGTACCAGAAATCTTCCTGGGGGGGTAAAGGGCGGTCACCGCGTAAGATTGACAACCTTACCGCCATCTGTGAGTGGACTGTATAGAAGATGTGGGAGCCTCGACGTCTCATAACCCTATGGGCCTTCAAGCCTGTTACAAGGATACCTTTACTTTACCTTTTACGGTGAATTAGTACGAAAGAATGCAATGGACGCAGCCGTGGAGTACAAACAGGAAGAAGACAAAGGCATGAACACTACTGGTTGGAAAACTCGAAGATGACGAAACACTTCGGAAAATTTGGTGTATCTTAGGAGAGAGAGTATTGAAAAGAACTTGAGAGAGCTGTTGTGTGAAGATTCCGTCTAGCTTAGAAAAATGTAGTTTTGTGACCATGGTAAAGACCCGAAACAGGGAATTTCTTGACAGCGGAGTAACTGCCGACTTATGTAAGAGGACCCAAGAACATTGAGTCATTAATTTAATCGATTCCTCGGTGTCTGCAGGTAACAATGCACACCTGGAGAAGCTTACTGTTGGGCTGCAGGGTTGCCAGACGGTTATACACGACGGTGACGTCACGGCGTCCATTAGCTCCTGCTAGAAACAATGGAGTTCGCAGCCTATCATCAACTCTGGACCAGACCATTGTCACATCCCCATATCCGGACATCACGATACCAGATGTCACTCTTGTCGACTTCATCTGGGACATGGTAGACAAATTCCCGAATTACACAGCCCTCGTAAGTTTATTTTGATTGTTCAGTGTTACCGATGTCAGATTCTAGGCCTACGTTAATTTGCAGATATTAAAAACTAAATTTCAAGGGAAATATCTGAAACTAAGAACGATAAATTGCGATATTCAAGACATTATGTAACAAATTCTTCCTTGTTAGTCACATCTTAATGTTAAGTCAGTGAAATCTATGAAACCATAGGCATGAGAGATCGGGAAGACAAAGAATGCTTACAGAATTTTGGTGAGGACTGTCAAGATTATGGGAGAACAATACTGAGATGGATGTAATTGGATTGAACTAGCTTAGGGTCACGTTCAACAGCGAGAATTACTAGCGATATAGAACTTCGCATTCTACCAACAAAAACACTCCGTGGCCTGTAGACCGCAAACGAACTATACCGACCGAGCTACCGTCACTTGCCGGCCAAGTTAGTGCCAACTTTCGCGGATAGAGGGTGTCACGTGGTCAGCGCAACGGATCCCCATAGCCGTTAATCTCGGTTATCTAGACTGGAGCCTCTATTTCCTTGAAATAGCTCCTCAATTATCCTCACGAGGTTGAGTGGACCCTGTTCCATACCCACTACTTCTTAGAATAACTGGTAGCGCCAGGAATCTGACCCGGGACCTCTGGATCTGTAGGCAGGAACTCAGACCACGAGACCATAGAGGCGGTATATTCTACCAAGAGAGCTGATTAATATGTAATTCTGTCGTTCGGTGTTTAATTGCGTTGTATGTTGAAGCTGTTCCGTCGTTTCGGCGTATATTGTATCCGCTAACTTCAGGGAGAATGATATGAAAGGAGGACGCGGTCCGCCATGCAAGTCTCGCAGTGGAAGTGAAGGTGAGTATATGCAACACAGTACTGCCTAACGAACAAGGTTGCCCTCAGTTATTTGGTGGCTTGGCTACTCAGCTTGGGTACTAGTCATTTGGCTGGTTAATCGGTTCTCTTTTTGTCGATTAGTTAATTGCTCGAAGAAACTGCAGATATACTGGGCGATTCTGGTATAAGTGAAAGATTATTTTACTGTGAAATGACACATATTTGTTTCTTCCCATTAAGAATGAAAATTCTGCATTCTTGGAAAGTAATTATATATGTGATAGGCGATTCAATGAATTCTTAACAGATGTATGGTGTACTTCGTGGAGACAGTACAGAAGTTATCTAAAATCAAAAGTAAGAAGATTTGTTTTAACTTTCTTCAGTACGTACAGTACACATGAAGCACGGTTTATTTGTACTAAAGAGACAATCATATAGAACAAAGTGGTGATCCCGATCATCAGTTTCCGTTACCCGTGGCTACTGTACAATAAATTATCATCTTATATTCACGGAAACAATTCAATGGCCAAACTAAACTTCTTTGTCTCACAGTAGCATGCTCTTTCTTGAGGTTATGAGTATATAGGCCTATGTACAGTATATACCAGAACCTTAATGTTCAAAACCGCCTTAGGCTGGGGCCACACGAGCGCACAAAATGCGTCCGTTGTAGAAATAAACAAGAGAGGCGAATGCTACGCTTTCTTCTGGCTCCATTGCAGATAAAAGACTACGCACCGCATTCTGCAACTGTGTGGTGTCCTCAGCAACGTCCGTCATAAAGTACGTTCGTTACAACGGACGCATTTTGTGCGCTCGTGTGGCCCCAGCGTCACTGGATACAGTCCTGAGCCCAGACACATTCACCGTCCACGTAGAGAGCTTATTTTTAACTAAAGATTGATCTGTTTCTTGTTCAGACCGTTATCCCACAATTTACATCTTCCTGCTGTGTATTTATCACTCTTCTTCTTTTAAATTCCAGATGGGTTCCAACTGACTGTCCTCATGCCTCGAGACAATTGCATTAACAATGCTTCAAGCGCTTCTCTCCTGTCACGCATTTACATTTTTCTTAAAGAACTGTGGCAGTGCATAGAAGAGTCACACAGTTACCGAATAATCATTCAAATAATCACTAATTAATGTTAAATTAATAAACTAAAGAGAACTGAAATCAACTAAACAAAACACATCAAAAATCTCAACCAATACCGATCAACCAATCAACAACCAATAAACTACCGAATCAACCAGCCACCAATTAGATTGGGACTAGCTCTATCGATTGGGCCCCACTGAACAGGTTTTACCCGAAGAAGGAGACAGAATGCACTCTCCGAAACGTTGTATTTTCAAAAATAAACAGGACGGTGTTTTAGATAAAGACAGGAAGATGGATAATGTCCAGAAACATACTATTCGTACTAATGCAAGCTAATCAATAAACCATATCTGAACAAACATGAAGGAAGCTCCTACCTTTACCTTGTTACTGATCAGCTACATTTGTTCTGTGCTCAGGTGTGTGGGGTCACGGGCCGCGGGTACACGTATGTCGAATCTCGCATTGCTGCCCGTTGCTTTGCGGCGTCTCTCCGCAGAATGGGTTTCGAGACCGGGGACGTACTTGCTGTGGCTCTGTATAACTGTCCCGAGTTCCATCTTGTCTTGCTAGGAGCCATGGAGGCCGGCATGGTAGTCACCACAGTGAACCCTGAGTACACTCCAGGTTCTGACGCTTACTGTATTCTTCCTTTAGGACCTCTTCATGTTACGTAAGAAGGAGCATCGTGATTTGCTGCTTAGTATTTCTAGCCCATGTTCATTCCTAGGGAAAAGAAGTAGGTTCATGAGATCACGATCCTGTGCCTGTGCGTCCCCCCTCCCCCACCCATTTTAACTCTTGCCGAGTTTCATTAAATTTGGTATGAACGTTGTGCTACTGGAGGTCACTCCGACCTTGTACTTCTCCATTTTGTGTAAACAGTGAAACACCATGACAGATGTACCCATTTGTGAGGTGGGAGCGACATCAGCGACACAAAAAAAAACATTCAGGGTCATGAAATTATGCATTATAATGGATCGAAATATATGCAACCTTTGTTGAGGTAATTGTCTTGTGAAATATAAAACAAAACGTGTAGCTACATGGAATCTATATTTAGCTTGGAGCTAGATATATGAATTCTGGTATGAAGATACATCAACTTAACCACAGATTCTATTTGAAATACTGTTTATAAGTTAAAATAAACACGACTGCGATACACAAATTTGAGGTTATATTATACAGGTTTAAGACATACAGAATTTTTCTTAAGTAGAACAGTAAGTTCTTAAAAAAACAATTGCAGTAGTAGTAGTAGTAGTAGTAGTAACTGTAATAAAACTGGTAACAATAATCCAAAATATATTTACAGTCTGAAACATGAAAATATTTACACTTGACCGCGATCTATAGCTATCAGCACACGAGGTCAATACGTAAACCATGGGCTAAAGTACATGCTACCATATGACTATAAATTTACATTACAGAGATAAGACATTAACAACAAAGGATTTGTAGGACTGAGTTTGCCTGAACTTCATTGTTATTTTATTTAAACACGAAGGCAACGAAGGACTTGAACATGGCGAAACAAAAAGAGAATTTTGAGAGAGAATCTTCATGGAAAGAGGCAATCTAGAAGCAAAAGAAACTGAGACAATAGGATGCCGCTTATTGTGATCACTTCGGGATGCAGTTAGTTGATAACAATAATCGAAGAAATAAGAATGCAGCTGTTCAACGTTGTTCATTGAATCAGGGTGTAAATGTGTACACAAAAAGGTGAAAGTGGACAGAAAGAAAACTTTGAAGTCAAGCAGTATAAAATACTGTAAGCTGACTGCCCACTAATTCTTCGAGAAAGACATCAATAAAAATGAAACCATTTCTGGAAATCGATATACACAAATAAAAACAAACAAAATATTAAAATCAAGAATTAGAAACATTATTTTAAAGCTGATTGTCTATTGTCTTTTCCGAGGTCATTAATAAAAAGTTATTATTCACTTCGCAGCCAAAGAACAAACCTGGATGTTACGCAATCACTTCCACTGTTCACATGCCAAGGACACGACAAGGCAAAAGAAAAAAAAGGCGATGACAAAAATCGAAGCGCTGATTACAACAAACATGTTTTCTGTGTATACGTCCGATCGGGACGTCTTAAAAGTGATATTACACGAATGATGACATTATTCGTGATCCCAATAGATGGCGTCTACTGCACATATAGTCACTTGATAGAGTGTGACTACAGACGGGTTTTGGATTGACAACTCGATTTATTGCACGCTTTTGATACAGCGCGTACAGTTCACTATTACACACACACTACTCCTAATGTCCACAGTCACGTCTTCACTGCCGTTGCTTCATAGCGGCTTTCAACGGTGGACGTTCCCCTTCCTCTGGGTTCCTGAACTGTGTCTGGTCTTAGCTACCAGCTTCTAACAGCAACAGTTCATAACGAACGAACCCCAGCAGTTCTCTAACTGCAACTCACGTAAAAGTGAAAGACAAAGTTTATGTTACGACCGACGAAGAGCGGGCCAGTCTAACTTGGTGTCAAACCGCAGATTTTTGTTACTGTCAGACAGTTACGGGTCTTTTTAATATAGGACGCCTTCTCTGACGAGCGGACGGGTCCGTCGTTTACAATTACTGCTGGGTCTCGCCAGCGCAGTCATTCTCGGGTCAAAGTCCCGCGGGACTCATGACCATATTTTACTGTCTTAGTTTCGAGACTCTCCCAACCTGGAGGACCATGACCCCGTATTTATTTCCCCCGGGATCAGGGTGGCCCAGTTATACCCCCAGGCATTGGGTTCCCTTTTTGTCGCCTTCTACGATTCGTAGGGCTCTCCAGTCTAGTCTAGTCTAGTCTAGTCTAGTAAATTGCTGCTGGTCCTTGCCAACACAGGGATTATTGGCCAGTCAGAGTCAGTGTTACTTTACGACTGGCAGTTTGCCGCCAATCAGTTCGTATTGGCGCCAAGCCCCTTGAGGCTCAAGACTAAAAATATTTTTCAACTGAACCCTTGCGGTTGTCCTCATGTAATATCTTGTATAGCGAGAAGATAGGTTTGTTTCTTACGAATGGGCTTCGACTTTGTCAAGTGTACTTATTGCATATATACTCCAAGTATAGATCTATATGGTTATGGGGAATGCATTTTCTCACCGGGAAGTGGTCAGTCCAATAAAAGTGATAATTTGGAATTAAGGACCTCTCATGGGGTTTCAGATGTGTCTCTGAGAGCAGAGCCACATCTGTATGTAAGTCCTGCAGCTGTTTTCTGAGCTCAGAGCGCCGCCTCCAAATGTCATTTGCATTAAATGCTATGATTTTGAGCGGTTTCTGAACTCTAACAGCCATTTTGTTTTATTAAGTACCATTTTTACAATGGGCATTATTTTGTCTTTTTCTGACACAGCTTCATTGAGCTCTGTGATGATCCGTTGTACTACAGTGGCGATTTTCAACGTGTCATTGTTAGTCGATCTGGGAGCCTGTACGGACAGATCGCTTTCTGAATTTCCTGTTGTGGCACATTCTGCTGTATGGTGGTCGGCAAGATTTTCCTATAGGTTTGTGGTGCCTGTGGTTGCTGGTGCTGCGTGTCTTGAAGCAGTACCGCTGCGTAGGAGTACTCTAGTAAGGCGAACCTAGACATGAACGTCCTCCCAGAGGATCCCTTGGAAGCTCGTTGGCTCTTCTCCTTTCGCACGGCTGCAGCCTCGATATGATGCTGCATTAGGTTTCCCTCCTTCTAGTAGGATGCAATTGCAGAAGCTCAGTGTACATTCTGCATTCGTCTTTTCAGAGCATTCCTTATTCAGGTGGCGACCACAGAACCAAAAAAAAAAAAAACGAGGGGGTTGCTTCCAGTTGGCCCAGACATAGCCAAAGTTTTGGCAATTGTAGCCCTGCCTAAGGTCAGTCTGAACTCTGTATAACTCTACCTTGATGATAGTATGGTTAAGGCTATTCAGCTTGAATCTCTCTTGAGATTTTATTTCTTGCTAAGGTAACAAGGAATAGCGGGAGGATTTCCACGTTGGTTTGTCCATTGGTTGCTCTTCAAGTGGCCGTCATTTCTCTCACGTTGATGACGTTAAAGTCTGGGTTCTCAAGGCTGTTGGAAATATCTCCCGTTGGCGTGTCTGGAGGAAGGTGACGGATTACTGCCTTTATTGGCTTTTCAAAATTCGGGGAGAAGGTAAAATAGTGGAGATTATTTTTCTCCAGGCTGAATAGTTCGATATTTCTTTTGTTACGATATGGGTTAAATTTCATGTATTTCGGAACTGGCACTTTCCTTTGACCTGGAATTTTAAATCGTTTTGGATTAGAATGAGGTTTCTGGTAGAAGTCGTCACTATTGGTGGCGACCTACCTGGTTTCCTGAGAGATTCTTGCTCCTGTAGTGCCTTCCCTGTTTCAGTAGTCTTCTTATCCGAGTAGTTCTGAGAGTTTTGAAGAAGTTGTGAGTTAACACTGCTCTTGGAGGTAGCTTGGCAGCTACGGATGTTAAGACTGGTTTAGTCGGATTCTTGACTATCTACGAGATATAATTAGAGCTATGTCTCTTTGGTCTCTTTTCTTCCTGGAAGTCGTCATCCTGGCCCATTGATTTCATTGAGGTTTTGTTCACTATACTACTCTGTCCTGCCAGTGTACTCACCTCAGGATGGCCTTCAGGTCTTTCAATGTTACAATGTATTTGCCGTAAAGAGTGCTAAAAAGCAGTTTCCCAGCTAGAAATCTACAAAATTTTGCTCTGTTTCCCTCCACGCTATTGAGAATAGGGGTCCACCTGAGGTTTCCCCCACTGTAGCTGCTGTGCATCCAGCACGGCTCTCATCGTCTCTGAGTGTTTTATATTCTCGCTTCACTACAGTAGCTGCTTCTGAGTGTGTATTCATGATGGCATGACATTCAGATTTCAGCGATGCTTGCTGTGGCCAGTATTTCTGGAATCCAGGCACTGGGACGTTCACCATCTTGGTGTTCACTAAAGTTCACTGCGCTGTTCGTTTTTCTCGCTAACTCTAACTGCAACAGCTCAACTTCTTTTATCCCCCTCTCAATAGCACAGGATGTCTCAGTCTGTTACAGTCTTCACTAGTCGTTGCTCGGTAACGGTCGTCACTAGGCGTCACTAGGTTATGGTTTGTAATGCTCATGTTTCACTCACTTCTTCACTCAACTCCAGGGCCAACATTCTCCTTCACCTCAAGAGTGACTCCTGACCACTCACCCTGAGTAACTCTTCTCTTCCAGCCTCGCTATAAGTGATTGCTCTCATTGCCGGCCGCATTACTCCAGAGAAACAGCTTCCAGTACCCACTGGATAAGAGGCTGAGTGTGCCCCATAGCCAGTCTCAACCCTATGGAGGAGAGAAAAGAATTAAGAAATATCCTATGAAAATGGACTGAGGATGACAAGTGAATGGAACTCACTCAGAATTGTGTCTGAAATTCTTTAAACAAATTTATATTCTATTTTCAGTAAACACATATGCAGTATATACTTGTATTTCATAAAGAGCTGCATATCCTGAAAATGAAAACAGTGCTTGCACTATTATCGTTCACCTTAGGCATGCCTTTCTCATGTATATGATGGATGGATTAGGACCCAAATTATACAGCTATGGCTACTGACAATCCCTGACACATGAAATGCTGCTGCATCAGAAAATGTAATTTTTCTTACATGACAATGATGACAATAAACTTAATATGTTGGTGTAGCGGTACTACTCTTGACTTGTGCATCCAAGACACTCAGTTTTAATCTTAGCAGGGACACCAGCTATCCTTACTGAGGTTCCTCATGGTTCTCCTCAGTCCCTCCAAGCAAATGCTGGGGTAGTACCATGATAAGGCCACAACTACATCTTTCTAAATCCTTTGCAATTCATTAGTCACCAATCAACCTACCATTCAACATTATACTATAAATTTATTTGCTGACAGCCTCATTAAATAAACAACAAAAAAATTATCATATTTGTAAGTCAGAGTATGCTTTGTTTACATATATTGCTACTTTGGGTAAATATGTGTATTGCACTCCTGCATTATTCACATAACATGCAACTTCAGCATTTAATACATATGTTTCAGGGGAGGTGGGGAGACAACTGTTCGACTCTGGCACGAAGTGTGTAGTTACAACCCCTGAATCTTATCCCTCTGTATCTAAAGCAGTGAGTGATATAGAACTGGCAGCACACAGGAAAATACCCATCATTGTGACCCCAGGAATCGCCAATACTGGCTTACCAGCTGGAGCCATCGACTTCCAGGAGATGATACAAAAAGATATCGACACGAGCATTCTTTCTGGAACTGAAAGATCCAGCCCCAACAATGTGGCTGTACTCCCGTACTCCAGCGGGACTACTGGTTTGCCCAAGGGGGTCAGGTTGTCTCATAGAAACATCATTACTAATTGCCTTCAAATGTGTCAAACACCTCCGCTGTGGATAGTCCGCCCAGCAACCAGTATGTACTTTGAGAATATCAGTCATAGTTTAGAATATTGTCTCTAAATTAATTCTTCCTCAGCTACTGCCATTGGTCCTACTACAATTCAGAATTTATTCTGACATTGGGAAATCATTAGGGATCTTGCAGGATTCTGTGGAAGAGGAATTGTTCCATCAAAAGGCCTGTCCCTACACAGGACAACATAATACTAAATAAAAAAATATGTACATATATCCGTGCCCTAAGAGTAGATTAGAACTCACTGGTCTCATTGTTTGACTATTCCAAGAACATACACACCTAGACAGCATGACAAATTAATTAGTAATTATTTGTATGTCATTTATTTTATTTATAATGTGTACTCATTCACTGTGGATAATTTCTAGATGCTGAATAATTTTTAACTGGATTTCTATCTTCTGGGGTATAACGCCATGTAGTCCGTTGACTTTTAATGGACTATATGGCGTTAACTCTTCATAACCACTGCTGTGAGAACTTCAAATTCTACGGTTTTTAATTAGGCGTATAGCATTTTCCTTCTGAGGTTCCATGGCCCACAGCCACTTCACAGTAGCAGTCATTTAGGCATCAATGATGAGTCAATTAAAATGAAAAATGTAGGTAAAAGCCATATATGGATAGTGAGACATTTGCACTTGCATTTAACATAGTGTCGAGAAACACGCACTTGCATCTTGGGAGTAGCTCATGCACACTGTGGTACGTGGAGCAAAGCTTAGTGACCGCCTTTTGTATGTGGAAAATAATAACAGAGCAAACCAATAATCATTGAAGTTCTACAACTGTACAAAAGCACTGAGTTCAGCAAATAAATTAAACATATTTGATTTCTTACATTTCTCATTTGTGACTGGTAGCTAACTAAAATAAAGGCCATAGAAGTGGTCAATAAAAGCTATATAGCTGTAGGAAAGTAGTGAGTCAAACAAATTGGTTTTGTTTCTTGACTTGCTGTTTGTCAAAGTCGAGCACAAATAACTGATATTGTTTGAATTCACTGCTTTGCTCGATTTGCCACTTGACATTTTGCTCACTCTCTAAGAGAGATGTTTGATTGCTGCAGGTGAAATGCAAGACGTTGTGCTGGGCGTGCTTCCCTTCTTCCATGTATATGGTCTGACCAGCATCCTGATATCCTCACTGTATTTTGGAGCCAAAATTGTGACCCTACCACAGTTCAAGCCTGATGTGTATCTCAGCACACTGGTTAAATACAAAGTAGGTACCATTTTCACTTTGCCTTTGCCTAAAGAGAAATTCTGATGACAGTAAAATTATTAATAGATATTAAAGGATTCTGACGATGGTGTATGGACTCTATCCATCGTCTGGTATATATAAGACAAGAAACCACAATGCTAGTCTAGACTAGCTCTTTCTAACAGGCCCAACTGAGTAGGTCTATCTTGCCCCATCCACCTGAGGACGGAGACAGATCTAGTCTCCGAAACATTGTGGTTTTTTGTCTTTGCATACCAGACAATAGATAGAGTCCAAAATAAGCCTTATAATATAAGCCAGACTAATCCAGTCCATGCAATCCCACCTTATTTTTTTAAGAACCATTCTACTATTATCTTCCAACCTGTGTGTAGGTCTTCCAAACAGTCGTTCCTTCAGCTTTCCCACCAAGACCTTTTACACATACCTCTCTTGTCTCCTATCATACACTGGAAAGAGAATCTAGTAACTTTTTAATGACAGCATAATGATCTGTATCACTCTACAATAACAACATCCTTTAGAGATGTTTTTGGTCCAATTTAACTCTGTCATTACCATAAATGTCCCATATCTTTATTCTCATCCTTTAAAACTTTTCACTGATTCCTAAACTTTCCTCTGGATGATGCAATTGTCATTACACTGAACTGTTATCATTTCATACATGTCTCTAGTTTTCATACAAACAGACTACAAGAACTGGATTACAGGTTTTTGTTTATCTCTGCTGCATTCTATCAACATATTGATGTCTCAAATTACTAATCAAGAGACAGCAAAATCCAACAAGATGCAAATGAGAGTTTTGCAGGTATGGGAGCCTCCCACAGTAAACCAAGCATTACCCAATCAGCGCTCATTACAGCAACTCCAACGCCCATTGGTTCACATACCACCTAGCAACAAAAGTATAAAAATGCAGACCTCCAGCATGCTAGCATCAGTTATTTGTACAACTATGACTGTATGAAGAGAGCACCAAAACAGTGAGTCCACTAGTAGCAGCACAGCAGCTGATGCTGCCAGCAATCACCAGCGCTCATCAGGCCAGCTGACCTCGCTAGCCCGCTAATGCAAGAGCTTCACCTGGCATTCCGTAGTTGCACCGACTCACAGTCTGGAGCTTCTGCAAGGAAGAATGCCGACACTAACGCTGGCTAGCCCACTGAGATGAGACCTTCACCCAGCATCCAGCAGGTGCACAAGGCTTCTGACAAACAGTTCTTTTCAGGAACAATAATATCACTGCCATCAATAGCTCAGGCTAGCCTGCTATGAAGGGAGTTTTTGCCAGCATTCATCAGGCATGCTCTGCTTCCCTGCAACATTCACTCTAACAGCAATAAACATTTGTTACAGTTATGGTTGTCTCTTCAAGCACTGACATCCTACACAGGGTTTCATCTTCTTCTGAACTTCCAATATCATTTCTTAAGTAAATTAAAATTTTCTTCAGTCTTTGACATTCCCATGTGCTGGAGTATGTTTTTCCACTGTTGCTAATTCTGCACATAATGAATTTCACTAGTATCACACCCAGAACTAAAAACGAATTGTTTTAACTCATGGCTTTATTTTGTAGGCCACGGTCCTGTATATGGTGCCACCACTGATTCAGTTCCTTGGGGCACATCCCAAAGTGATGAGTAATCACTTTGAAACGGTTCGATTTGTGACAAGTGGGGCTGGCCCGATCGGGCAGTCTGATGCACAACGTGTTCTGGATAAGGGCAGCCACATACACTTCATTCAAGGTAAGATCTGTATCAGTTAATATTTCAAATTTCCAATGTATTATGAAGTCCTTCATAAACTTTAACCGGGTGTAATAAATGACAGCATGTTTTCATTCCTTAATTTGTTTCAGATAGAAGAAAATTTTAAGAGCTGATGAGTTCACACAAGTTTTGACACATTTTTCAGTTATGAAAGTATTATAGTTGACTTTTCTATATATGAAATTTTACAGATTTCTTGCTGTAGAATAAACTCATCTTACTCAGTCTTCATCTTCTCCATTTCTCTTCCACCTCGACTGTCTCTTTCCTCTTCTTTAATCTCCTCCTCAAATCTCTTAGATTTTCAATGGGCTCTTCATGCCTCTTAAACACATACCAAATATAATATTTAAAACAAAAGATTTACAGGACTTAAAAGTTTTATTTTTTAAATGAAAGCTTCAGTTGTATTGAAAATGTATTTATGACTTATTCCACATACTACAGTCATTTCTGACTAACTTTGGATCCATGGACTGTAATATATGTATGTATTTGCAAATAAGCATAGTAGCTCATATATATGAATTAGGGTAAGAACACCTTCCCCTACCAAGAATTGTTCCCTCAAGGAAAATCATGCAAACCTTGGTAAATAATATTATATTTAAGCATCCTGTTGCACTCCATACGATAAATGATATAAACTCCGTCTCAAGTGCAAACAATGTATTTTGTGTCTTTGATCTTGCTCCCTACACTACATGTTTCGGCCTCAGACGGCCATCATCAGGTGTATAACACTCACAAGGAACAAGAACTAGCCGCTGCAGCACTTCAAACACAGGGCGAATAACCCTAACAATTTAAAAAATTTTAAAATTTGGACAAGAATTTAAAGGTTTAAAATTAGAACTAAAGATTTTATTATGGTGCTATTACAATAAACTCAAAATTAACGTGTGTGAAGTAATCTACGGGTGGACAGCTATCAACGAAGTAGAAGTTGATAATGACAGGGAGAGTGTTTTAGATGTTAAATTTTGAACTGGGTGCAGTGTGACAGCGACGTGAGTGTTATACACCTGATGATGGCCGTCTGAGGCCGAAACATGTAGTGTAGGGAGCAAGATCAAAGACATAAAATACATTGTTTGCACTTGAGACAGAGTTTATATCATTTATCTTGGTAAATAAATATAAATAATAGGCCTACATGAATGTTAATTATTTAGTAAGAGAGATCTGATGAAGTTTTCGCAAAAGAATCATGTCACAGTTTCAAAAGTAGGTAGCAATTTCATAAGTGCCTAAATGGAACAAAGAAGAATGTTCCACCTCAGTGTGTGCACTGATGGTGCTTGGATTGCCATTCAGAAGTTAAGACATGCTAGTAGGCATTATTACCAGATGGTCAGCCTGTCACATTTTCTGTTCTGATCACTTTATATGATATATTTTGAGACAATTACTTTAACAGCAGAGTTAAAAGCAGACTGATAACATATAATAATGATGGTAGTGTAGAATGTTGTCAGTGATTAAACTATCACCAGCAGAAGCATCCACTGTAGTCTGTATGTAGAGACAACAGGGCATTGACACTAAAAACAGCAATGATCTCTGCTGCAACCCTCAGCACATACATGTACTTCTGTAAGAAATAATCTAGTGTCCTACATCATGACTAAGATACTTATGATATTCATTCATTCATCAGTAATCTGTCAGACGACAGGTCCACGGTCTCTTCCAAAACAGTTCCTCCACTTAATGCGATCTCAAGCTTTCTCCTTCAATTAAAATATCCTCTTCTGTCCCCAAGGTCATCCAGCATCTTCTTACGTCTTCTTCTTCGTCTTCTGGGCACTTCTATCCACATCTCCGGTTTGTCTTGTCTCCAGAGGAAACATCTCGCATACATGGTATCTCTGTTTTTGGAAAGAGATTATCCAGGAAAAGTGATAATGTGGTAGTTTTCCATTTGCTTTCCACATCGCAGTACAACGGCCATTCAAACCACTCTGGTCATGCCTGTTGCTATACGAACTTGAACCATCTTGAGCATCATTTGCTCTGTGCTTCAAGTCAATGCTGATGATGCTGCTTCCGGCATCAGTTTCTGACTTATGATATACTGCATAGAAAATAGTACTTCATCAGTCCTTTGTTCTTCTTCTCCTCCTATTTCTTTTTAGACAAACAAGAAGCCTACTGTAATCCTGTGTGGACAAAAAGTTCCAATAACGGACCATGCAGCAACAGCAGTGTTGACAATGAACATTACACAATAATTCCAAAATATTTTTAACAAAATATAATTAACAGGTGTTCATTGTAGAATCTATGTAAAGCTAAAGGCAAAATTATCTTGTACTTAATTAACTAAGCCCTACACCCTGTTGATGTGGGAGTGGAGATACAGGTCTACCTTCTCCATCTCGGCATCCAATGGAGGTGTGCTTAGCTACACCTTCACGCCCAATAACTTCACCTCTGGGAAAGCAGACCCAGTGCACACTGTATAGGAGACTGAATAGGCCAAAGAAGCAGTCTGGACACTATGGACTAGAGAAATATCTTTTACATCTGTCATGAATCGAACCAGATACCTCAGCTGTTCAGTCCATAACCTTGTCACTATATTCACTGAGCTATCCAACTTTCTCCAAAATGTTGACAATTAGTATCATTCAAGCATGGCAGATTTCTATGAAACCATGTTCCTTGTACAGGGTATGGGCTGACAGAGACATCTCCCCTTGTGTCTGTGCTGCAGAGGGGCAACATAAACCTAAATTCTTCTGGCATCCCCGTCCCAAACACCTATGTGAAGGTAGTCAACACGGACACAGGTGTGAATGTGGGGCAAGGTGTGGTAGGTGAACTCTGTGTCAAGGGCCCACAGGTGAGAACTCTTGTGTGAAACTGTATTTTTCAGACTTTTTTGTGTCAAAAGTTCTCTTGGTATTGAAAAAAAATGACAGATCCCAATACACCAACAAAATGTATATTTTAAAAATTAAATATTTTGAAACCTGTTTATGTTTATCTAAAATCAACGCAATGTCTTACCAAAAACACTGAAGCATAGCATAACCAAATTGAATTAACTTATTTCAAGCAAATTTTATAGTGACTTGACGATCTGTGAACTGTAACTTCAGTAATATCCTTGGGCTTTCTTTCTGGGGGCCATATGCTACTAATTTGAATTGATATTTTAGTAGTCAATGAGAAAATAGAAAAAATGGCCATCTTCCACTTCCTTTCATCAAAAAAGTCACAAAAAATTCAGAGTGATGTTGAAGAGTTGTATACTTGTGTCAAGTGCAATATTTTGTTTAGTGGCTGCAAAACTTGAAATACCACTAGACCCTATCCTGAGCCAGATTAATCATGTTCACACTCTCACATTACATTTATTTAAAATTAATTTCAATTTTATTCTTCCTTCTACATCTATATTTCACTTAAATTCAGGTAAAATAATTTATACGCTACATTTCTTATTTCATACATGTGAAAAGCTTTCAACTGGCTCAGGACAGTGTGTCCAGTGGTGGGGTTTTGTGAACATAGCAATGAAACCTTCATATTCCATAATAGTGAGGAATTTGTCAGCTGCGAAAGTGTCAACTTTTTTATGAAGACCATGTGGTTTCTCATGAGTTTGTAGTTGGCATTTTTTAAGTGGGAACAAAAGACCAGACATTTGAGAAACACTGTCATATACTTTTAGTAACATTAACAATGCAAATATATTCCATTCAGGTTATGCTGGGATACCATAACAACCCCAGTGCCACTGCTGCAACGATAGACTCTGACGGATGGCTACATACAGGGGACATGGGTTACTATGACAAACACAGCCACCTGTTCGTTGTGGACCGGCTCAAAGAACTCATCAAAGTCAAGGGCTTCCAAGTGCGTATATCCTGCTTAACACTGCATTAACATATATTTATTGTACTGATGTTCATGAATATTTATATTGAGTGAATAAAATGAACCTATAATGAGTGGCAATGTTCGCACATTTCATCTCTGAAACTTCTGAATAGATATCAATGAGATTTTGTATTGGCGGATCTACACCAAATGTTGCTGGGAGAATTTAATTCTAGCATGGCATACATGGTAACATGTTAGTGACTAGACATGGAGTTTGGATTGGTAATTGGATTTATTGAACACTAAAAAGTTGTAATGACAAATAATTGTAACACTCTCATTAAATTCATGCCCTCTCCTTCTCACTACAGCATACTCTAAGTCTTCTATGTCTTCACTAGCTGTTGCCTGGTAATGGATCCCACCAGTGTCCACTGCTTATGTTTTTTACCGGATGGCAACTGTCTCAAAACTAACTCAGCTCTTGACTCTCAACTCATGACTGCAACTAACTTTCAACTCAACTATCGTGGCATCACTAGCCATCCTGACTGCTCACTGGCCAGCCCTTACTACTACTGGTGACAACTCACTACATACCCTTGTTTTTGTCAGACCGAATAGAAAACATCATTGCCAACAGATTTAATTGACAATCATTTAATTGCTGTCGTGGAAATTGGTTTATCAAGTCATTACTAAGCAATGGCTGTCACTGTCAGTCATCACATTACAGTATAAATCCAGATACCTTAAGCATACTTTATGACAGCTGCCATTGTAATGAAATATGGCATTAGCCATGCTATCTTCTACAGTACTTCTTACCAGAAATATCACAGGATGTTTGGTTGCTGACCTTCTGGTTGAAGGGAAATATGGTTAGTGTTTATGAAGAATTGTCTGGAAATCAGATGTAGAGACATGGCAAAAATTTGCACTTCCTCTGTTCCTGAATTTCGGAAGATGTTCTTCTTCATCTGTTAAGGCATTTTTCTGATTCTATGGACCATCACTTTACAATTGCACTGTCAGATTGGATACACAGGAAGCTTCAGTTCAATAAAATTGTGTAACATAACAAGTCACTAGCAAAAGATTGATTCCCACAAGTCCAAATTGGACCTGGAACCTACCTAGTCTCCAGATGGTATTTGGGGCTCTTTATTCAGGTGTAAAATGGCGGGAAGCATGAAGCTGACTACCCATATATATTTAATACGAATTTAAAAATGTGTCATGCTTTACCTCCGGTTTCTTAATTGCCTTGTTGATGCGTTGTTTAAGCACAGGAGCAATACAATATATCTACTGATAATGTAAGATGATTATAATTGTATGTAAGACTGTGTATAATTATTTTCCAATACATAGTAAATAAAATATAATTGTGTATGATGTGCAAATTAATAATGTTGAATTCAATATGAAAACTCTGCTTACACCTTACAATCATGGTTCTTACTTATATATTATGGAGGGATCAAACACAGTAACATGATTTCCTACAAAAGCTTACTTATTACATCTGTCATCTGTTCTTTTGATGTTCAGGTGGCACCAGCAGAATTGGAGGAGATTCTTCGCCGCCACCCTGCAGTGGGCGATGTTGCTGTAATAGGTCTTCCACATGAAAAATCAGGAGAGGTGCCCAAAGCTTTCATTGTACCCAAAGACTCTAAACTAACTGCAGATGAAGTGAAGAATTTCATGGCAGACAAAGTCTCAGAATACAAGCGTCTGGAAGGTGGTGTACAATTTGTTCCTAGTATTCCAAAGAACTCTGCAGGAAAAATTCTGCGACGTAAACTAAAAGAAATGTATTGTAAATAAATAAATATAATATGCTGGTATTAAGCTTTTGAAATGCAAAGTGAGTGGTTACGATCCAACAGGTCAATAGACCTACTTGGCCAGTTCAAACGATGGTTTTCCATAAACGAACAGCTCATTAAAATACTGAAGTGGGGCAGGAAGGCTAATATAATTAGGAAGTTGGAGATCATATTAGTTAAAATTAATACTACAAGAGTGGTTCAACTTTGGAGACCTAGGCATAGATGGAAGATTGGCCTTCGCATGCAGAGGAACGAGCCACTGTGCAAAAGTGGCATGGATTAAGGAAAACGTCATTGGGATATCAATGAAACAAAATGTAAGTGTATGGACTGGATCCACATGGCTCTAGTGGCAGGCTCTTGTGAAAACATTAATGAATTTCTGAACTGCATAAAAGACAGGAATTTTCTTTTTGCCCAGATGAATGACTATCACATTATATAGAATTTATATGTAGTGAACCTCAAATACAGTCGTGCCAAACTCAAGTTCTGTATGCAGAGATTCAAACATATGCAAATAAGCAACAGTAGTAATAGTTTTGGCCATTTTTGGCCATTAGACATTTTTACAAAACAACTTGTCACAGGGAAAGGTAACAGTGAATGCAACTGAGAATAAGATGGAGCTGTCAATTATATATATATGTATCTAGATGTAACAGGATGCTAATACATATCCCAAAGATGACTTGAGATTGGTACCACTGACAGCAATGACAAATGTTATGTTGAAGTTGATACTGACACACAAGTAATTACAGCTCTATACTATTTTGTTTAAAAAAATTTTAATCCCTGTTATCTTTTGATAAACCAAATATAAATGCAACTGTATCAATACTTTTAATGTACTTTCATAGTTTCCCAAAACAAAGCAAGAACTACCAGCTATCACTTAAAATTTCCTATGTAACAAAGTTGGCACTCAATATACTAAGTCAATATACTAAGACCTGTTGATGAATTTCTAATTTGTTTGCATATAGTGTAACATAAAAAGCACTTCAATAAATTTCTATTTTTTTGTTTTGTTTTGTTTCTCAAAGTCCACAGAGCACTTGCTTAGATTGCAAGAAGTTCAAGAAACGCCTTAGGTCACTTTTCCATTAAGTTCCTTCCAGTTATTTATGGAATGAGTCTTTGTGGAATTCAGTTTGCATTCCTGTCTCTGCCACTTGCCTAAACATCCAGTGTTCTCCCTCCCACCATGGTACTCAGCCACATTGCAAAAGAGAGCATATTTTAATATTTTTGGTTTCTTGTGTGAGCTAGAAAAAGATTGTAGAGCGAGACAGAGAGAGAGAGCGCATGCGTGCATGCACACTATATGACACTTGGCTCTGATTCAGAAGGTTTGAAGATTGATTCCCAGTTGATCTGTATGCTGAAATTCTGTTCACCTCTACCATATGTGGTTCTTACAACAAGATGTGGGTCCCTTATGGCCACTGTCATTCTTATGATCACCTTAACACTGGAGGTAACAGAATATGCCCTATGGATGCCAGCACCTCAGAAATGGATTCTACACCCTTGCCTTGGCAGGCCGAAGTCATAAAGGTATGCAGACCATATCTGAAGGTACTAGAAATTGACTGGCTTGATATAGTCTGAGATCTGCAGTTCTCTCAGTGCTGAGAATTCAGATTATGAATTTCTTGAATGTGTAACGGCTCTGTCTGCTTTAAGGCCCTTTGCGTTGGGCTCCACTCCTTCTTAACCGTCTTTCTCCGGCAGTCCTCTGAAGAGCCCTTCGGTTGCTGGTTGCATCTGCTCCTCTAGCTGTTCCCTCTCACCTGTTGTTACTTCTAGTTGGCAGGTTGCGGCTGCGTCCTTCCTATCCAGTTCTGTTTCCCTTTTTGTTGTTCTGGTGGATAATAGTTTGCGGGGTATGGGTTATCGGGGTGCTGGGCGCCAGTAAGCTTACTGTCGGCTTACATTTCTGGAAAAAGGGGGGGTGAACTGGAAACTACAGGTGCTAGGTACCGCGTTCTAACTGGAGCGATGAGATTCGGTCTCAGGGGAATACGGGCCTCACGTCAGCGGGAAAGAGAAGAGTGTTTTAGGTAGGCACTAACACACACACTGTTTAATTAGCCAATCTTGCTTGTTGCACAAAACACATGGAAATCTCTCCAACGTTGGCGACCTGATCCCTGGCTAATTAGTTAGCGGCTGTTTCTTTTAGCACAACCCCTAGAATTGCACTTGCACTTATACTTTTAGCACAAAGAAAATTTCACGTTAAATTTAGAAGAGTTATCCAGAGAATTTTCCTGCAAACACTTAAACATAATTTCGGCTGTACACTTGGAGGGTTGTTCAGAGACTCCTCTCGCAGACTGACCCTGCTTCGAAGCAAGAAATCTTCGCGGCTTCAGCTCCGCCTCCAAGTTACTACCCTAATTTATGCTGATTGGAACAATTCGAATTTAGGGAGTTAACCATAATTCTCACTGCTCCAATCACATAACTTTAATTTGGGACTTTGGACCTTAAAGTCCTAACGTCGTTTTAGACAGCTGCCTGAAAAATTATACCAGTAGCGTGGGTTGCTGGCCTTCCCACTTTTGACTTATGGGGTTCAAAACCTGTCAAGTGTAACTTTACCAAAGGATCCCGCCGGTCAACTTTCTAACTGAATTTCCAGGAAAACTCTGCGGGGTACTTCCTGTCTGGTCTTTGTAGCAGTGAAGCAGGCCCTATTCTTGAAACCAAGAATCGGGCTAAGTCACCCTTGAGTGTTCCTTGCTACCTCTTGTGTATAATTACTCTAAAAAGAAATATTGATTACAAATAAAGATGGTGGTGTCAGTGGTACGGCTACAAATGTGACATCATGTCATTTCATTAAAATGGTACAAACTTAATAGAGGAACCTGTGGCCTCCATCCTCAACGATAGAAGACTGATCCAAGTGGCAATTGTAGTATGTGACACTGGGAAATTGGTTTGCCCAGAGCCTACAAAACTATATGATGTCACACAAAAGCTTATTCCCTGATACAAGCGTCTCAGTTCCAGTGGTGACTATGTTGAGAAGTAGCTTCAGTATGTACGTATTTTTGTATATAATAAATTTGTTTTCCTTATTTCTTGCTTTGTTAACAGCTCACCAGAGGTTACTTTCCAAATAGCCCTCACATTATCCTTTCATCTATGCCCAGTCTCCCAAGTGGTGTCCTTTCCCTTCGAATTTCCAACTAAAATTTATTACAAATTTCTGATCTCACCATGCATGCTACATATCCTCCGCCCATTTCACAATCCTTTATTTAATAAATGTAATACACTGTAAACAACTTACAAAGTTTTTTCAAGCTTCCTATTCCTTCCTCTCCCTCGTGTCAAAATATTGTGTCATAAAACGAAGATATAAATAGAGATATTGGGTTTCTGGACTTTATCCATCATCCTGGTTTTAAGATAACTAAGAAAAACACGACATTTTGGAAATTGGGTCAAGTGATTGAGGCTAGCTCTTTCTAAGGGACCCAACAGAATTGGTGTTTTCCCTCACCTGAGGACGGAAACAGATCCAGTTTCTGAAACATCGTGTTTTTCTTAGTTATCTTAAAACCAAGACAATGGATAAAGTCCAGAAACCCAATATCTCTATGTGTTATACACCATCATCAGAATCCTATAGTAACTACTGAAGATATAAATACTGCAAGAAAAATTAGTGGATATAAGGATCCAGTGTTATGGACATACAGATACAGATGTAAATGGGATTCCTTTCAGACTGTCAAAAATGTGGACAATGAATTGGGGGGGACTAAAGATATGGTGTAGAGAACAAGTATTGTAGGACGGCAATTAAAATAAACTTGAAAAAGGTTGACACAGATATAAAAGGGGTGCTAATTGAGAGACAGAGAAGAATGGAAGAAGCATCAATGGATGATGATGGTAAAATACAACATAATAAATATTGATATTTATATTTTTATATACAATATTCTGTGAACATTGGTGCAAGAAAAGGTTTGCAATGTATGTGATCAGAAACATCATGTAATTACAAATATACAATGTGACACAAACGTTATAAAACAATCACATGATATTTACAGCATGATATCTCACATATATATTTTAATTTTTGAGGGGTTTAATCCCAAGGACTAACTCATCACATGACAGCCAAATCAACAATTCTACCTTACTTTGAAACAATTACAGTACTGGGATTATTCCCACATAATAACTGTGCTACTTTTAAATTATATTTCTAATCTAATTCACGAGCCACATGTATTTAAGACACATGCATTAGTATTATACAACTGTCTTCATTCAGATCTAGCAACTACTCCTCCTCCTCCCCCTCTATCCCTTCAGATTCTCAGCGGCAGTCCAGCTGTATTTGCATGCTGAACCTTGACCTCACAGTCCCTTCCAGCTGCTAGCACCATACCTTCCCCTCACCCTGATCCATGCAATTTAAGTACCAGAATGGAATTTTATGACTTCTCTTCCAGATAACAGCAAGTACAGTGGCAACAATAATGGGGTCAGGCCACTGGAAGGACAAGACAAGCACAAAGTCTAGTTAACAGAATATAAGCTCTTATGGGGATTGACTGACTGACGGTCAGTCGCAATGTGACTTGGACTTGTTAAGAATGTGAAAAAGCCAAATTCCTCTGTACATCATAAAATATTTCTCAGACAGAAGATTACAATGTTTACTAATGTGAGCAATTCATGTATATCAACAAACGACTGAAAAAAACTTCTCAGCACTGTCATGGTATAATTTGTATTGTTTAATCTCACTAAAACACTGGGGTTTTCTAATTAGTGTTCAAAGGATTCTGGATTTAACCCTGACTGTTGCCATTAACAGGCAGAAGAAAATAAATATGTCAGTATACTGACAGCCAATCACCTAATAATAAGAGAACAGCTAACTCCTGAAATATTGCACATATGCAATTCACCAAAAACAATGGGTAATGTCAAACATAATACAGTGCAACATAATTCTCTTCCTACAAAATAAATAGAAAGAAATATTGTTCATATATGCTGACTCCTGCTGTGTATACATTGTCATACACGTAACTGTATATATTAAAACAACATATGCCCTCAAGACAGGAAACAATATATATATTCACTATTAGTCTTCTGCAATAATACACTCTGTTGTTTGTACAGAGGTACAAACATTTCAGAGGAACCTGCTATTGCCATCTTCTTGGTAGGTACTTACAAACATTTTAGAGAAACCTGCTACCTCCATCTTCAGGGTAGAATATGGAAGAAGCAGGTTCATCCAAAATGTTGGTCCTTATTCACCAAATTACATGGCATCAACGTGGTAGCATAGTGGTTGAGGAGCTATGCTACAAGCCAGAAGGTCGCGGGTTCAAGTCCCGATGAGGTCATTGGATTTTTTTCAGTTGACCTAATCCTTCGAGCCGCACTAGGCCCTGGGGTTTACTCAGCCTCTAACAGAAATGAGTACCAGGAATTAATTAATTTTCCTGGGGAGTAAAAGCACAGCCGGCTCGTAGGGCTGACAACCTTACCACCATCTTTGAGCCGACTGTCTAGACAATGTGGGGCCCTCAACGTCTCACAACCCTATAGGCCTTCATGGCCTGGTACGGGGATAGCTTTACTTTACATATCCCTCGACATCCACCACAACAAGAATCTCAAATTTCATATTATACAGACTCTCTTACCTCAAAATTAACAAATTCTGTCCAATAATGATGAAACCCACACATAGTGACATTTCTTTTGGAGGAGGGGGGGGGGGTCTGGTGTCATGGTAAACATGAATTCTGGCAGCCAGAAATCTGCAGCTCAGAAACACTGTAGTTATAAAATTGAAACATTAATTCATCATACAAGTCTGTATTCATTCAAAACAAACTGAATTCCATTCTACTACCACATTATGATGAAGTATCATAATGTAATATCAAATACATTTCATAATTTGAACCCAATTTGCACAATGTACAAATACTTCACTTTAAGTATTTCACTGTATTGTGGACTTCTTTGTTATGCAGGACAGTTTTTTTTGCACTTCAGTAACTGAAAAGAAGCCCTCCTTGTGGAATGATGGTTTGTTTACTTGCTCAACTCTGCATATTCTACTGTTATATTTAGTGCAGCAGAATCCTTGTACAAATCACAGGAAGAAGCCTTCATTCTGGCCAGATTACAGACATAGCATCACACATCATAACATTTCAAACAAAGGCAGGTGGTTAATACAAGGTGTTGCTGCTGATCATGAAACGATTGAAAAGAAAATTAGTAAAACTAAAGGCAATGGAACTATTTCATACTGGACATGGAAGTAAATATTTTGAACTAGTACATATTTATTTGTGGAGAGGGGTGGGGTTGTGGTGAAATGCTGTTTCCCTTATCTAACTAAGAGTGATTTTCTTTTAATTATTTTCTAAGTTATTATTTCTGTTAAAGAGATCTTTCTGTATTAAGCAGAAAAAGTATAAAGTATACAACAGTGGGAGTTCATTGTATAATGATGAAATACTGTCAAATCTTACTTTCTTCAAGCAGTATACAGTAAATTTAAAATAGATCATGGCTGATAAAAACAGTGCTACTTATATATGGGTTTTTCTACTTGTCTGTTCCATCATTAACTTTCTATATTGTCAATGTGTAAAACAGAGCAACACGCACAAAACATTTATACAAGAGGCGTAAATATAACAATTTTAGCATAATGAGATGTAAACAGAGGAGAATTTGTTATATTAACTCATCTTTATAACTGCCCAATGATTATACAAAATTACTTACATAAGTACCTGTGAGGAAACAAGTGTGGACATACCTTTATGAAGCATTTGCTACTGCTTCTTGTCCTTATGTCATTTTGTCAGCATAAGATCATAGTTCCCATCATTATACATCCTCTCATAGTTTCAAGTCTCAACATCTCTAGATGTTTTGTATTTATCCTTCACACCTTCCCTCACTTGGTCCATCCATCACAGTTTTAGTCTTGGCACAGATCTCTTATGTACAAAACTCAATTCCACTGCTGTTCCATGGTTTGTCACTTAGCTTTCATCATCAGATCAACAGAGTAAAACTAGATCTTGCAATATTTTAATACAAACTGACCTTACAACATCCATCAGAGCAAAGCATTAATTTTTAACTATTACTTGTTATACAGTGATATATTATTACAGATCTGTGTACCAGAAATAAATACTCTTAATTTAAATATCTTGACATGTTGTCATACAGTGAGGCTTCCATTTCTTCTATGGCATACATGCACAAGAACCAGTCATCTTCAGGCAAAAGTCCCACCCCATTAGCAATAATAAAAAAAAAATTGCAAACTAATTAAAATAATTTCAGTGTGCTGGAAAACAGGCAGACTCATACTCTGACAGCCATTTTTTCACAGAAATGGGGACTACCAAGCTCTATGAACAATAACAAAGCAGCTGACCACTACACTGTGTCATCACCCAAAATTCACTAATCAAGAAACTGCAATGAAAGCATAAAAATGTTGAACAATTGAAATGACAGAGTATGCCACACCCTTTTCATTCTCCATACATTTAGAGTCTGCATGAACATCCACGAAAAAAAAATTGCTAAGCTAATTTCCTCAATCTGAGATAACCAAATTAAAACTCAGCATTTAATATAAATTTGTGCAACCACAGACATTCAATCACAAGATTATTACAGCTGCAGTTCCACTTACAGGTATTCTGAAGACCACTGTTCCAATTCATGTACATGAAAACCTTTATAAAATGTACTGCTCGTAGGAATACACATGGCAATGATCCTCATAAGCCCATGTGACACTGCCTTGCCTAACCTAACATTTCAGGTCACACTAAACTTTCGTTACTTCTGGCGCTGATCCAGACTTCTCTAACAACGGAGTAGAACTGTCATTTAGATTATTTCTTGATTTACATACGTTTGATGAATTTTCTGCAGATTTACAAGGGACTCCTCCATTGAACGGTGACTCAAATGGCAAAAAGTCATTCATTTCCACCAGAAGACGTCTTTGTTCAGGTTCAGTTCCTTTGGTATGTTGTTGGTTGTTGGAAAATGCTTAAAAGTTAAAGTGTGATATGAGTATCTCTCTGCTAAAACATGAAAACTCAAACTGAAACACCCAAGGACAGAAATGAAACGTTGTTCTAAGAGTCTGTGACGACTTCATATCACATTGGGCATGTTTTCTGTAATCACTGTCCACTGTCTTTCTAGGAAGAAAATAAAATAATGCAAAGGCTGACTCCTTTACTTCTTCCAAAATGTCACATAATTTTTTAGCCAGATAATATTCAAAATGTCATTCTCATTACAAGAACAACATTATGTTGGAACTGTTTTCCTAACATATTTGAAAATGTTTTGTAATGACAAACATTAAAATCATTCTATGAACAGAAAATTATAACATAATATCTTTAGTCAGGCATTCAGACCATTTCTTTTTGACCCAAATGGTAAAAGCTTGCAAGGCCAAATGACAATTGTGCAGCTCTCTCTACCCTCCAGGTAGATTGCAGGTGGGGACAGGGGTAATATATGTAATGTAATAGTGCAAGAACCTAAAATTGTGTTCCTTGTTTAGCCCAGTATGAAATTTCATAATCATTTCCATGACAGTGCTTTCTGAAAGGATGTACTTATTAGAAACATTTCTCCACAAGCAGTCTGTCAGGCAATGTGTAACTTTGTAATACTGTGTGCTTCATGATAAATACTCATTCTGCTACTGAATAAAGAACTGCAAAATCTTACTGTGCATGCCACACACCACTGATACTACCTGCAGTCAAATACAACTGACCTTCACATGAAACAAAGCTGATGGTGAACACTTTATAGCAGTTAGTGAGAGCTATCAACAGAGCATACATAGGGTTACTACATGACCAAGAATGCTGCACTCATATAATGATATCAAATACAGTAGTTTCCATTAGGATACATTTCTAAATTGATCATCCAGCTTTTCTCGAGATATTTCATATAGTAAAATACACTAAAAATGGTTTACAAAAATATCTGAGGGGTCACACTTTATGTAACATTGAGAAAATATAAAAACTTATGACAGATTTTGTAAGAAACTACTTAGAAATTAATGCTGTTAGGTTTAGGGTATTTCTGAAATAAAGTTTAAAATATGTGCCCAAGGCAAATGTAAGAATGTAACAAATGGTACTAGTATATACATAAATAACAATTTATTAAATATTACAATCTTTTATCCCCCTCACTGATGTCAATCTAACGAAACATATACTTTGGTTCATCATTACTAGCGGTATAAAGACAATCTGGCCATAATATGCTGCAGCAAATTCTCAAACACATTTGAAACTATCTACCAACATTATGTATTCATGCAGGAAAATCCTACAGACCAGAAAAGTTCATAATTTTCACCTGAGAACTGTAAAATAAATACTGCACACCACATATATCCAAACAGAATGCAAACCCTTTTGTTGCAATACTTACATTGAAGAATGAAGTCCAGTTCTTCCTGACTACAGAAATGAACAAACTCTTCTAGACTGGCGCCTTTGAAGACAGAGATAACGCTTGGCTGTGGATTGTAGAAGTAAATTGGCTGCTTCCTTTTGTTAAAATCCTCTATCAGTGCAGCTATACCCTATTAACATAAATTATTAAATTAAGCAAATAAAATTATAAAGCAATATAATTCAATACACATACAATGTTTTTAACCCTGGAAACAACTGCAGTAATCTTCTGAAATTGCAAATCTGATTTTTGTGAGCAGGGAAGTCTTCACAGTCACATTTCATCTCCAAAACTACGTCACAGAAAACAAACCTTGGCAGCAGTAAAGTCAGCTCCCAAAATGAAACGGCAGTCAATGATTACAGGTAAGTGGCTCAGGCCTTGTTTCACAGCTGCCTTTCCAACACTTGTGCGAATGAAATCGACTGCAGGGAAGTACAGGCTGTTAGCTGGTGTCACCAGCAAGTACTCCACCCCTGAATGTGTCTAAAAACACACAAACATTGTTCTGGTAAAGACAAACAAATAATAATTAATATTACATGAAAATAAGATGGGATAAAAGGGCACTGACTGAAGCAAAAGAATGGAAGAAAACAAAATAATGTAACTATAGTAAATTTTAATTCCCAAAAAAGCAGAATTTGATAAACAGAACTCAAATTTACTAGCTACCCACAAAATCCATTCACCCATGGTCCTGCAATATGCAGCAAATATTTTTATTCTAGTAACGGTTACATAATGTAACGAATTAACATAGAAGCTTACCTTTACTCATTCTGGTCCATCACACTAGTAAACTATTACAGAATAATTGTTGACACTGTCCAGTGTGATTCAATTTGTAGGCATTTATTGCCTTTACATGTTTCAGCCAGCTGACCATCTTCAGAAGGCATAATTGTAAATAACTTACATAAAAACTTTTATGTATATATTACAAACTTTGTAATAGTAGTTTCTGAACATGTTGATCTTATGCCTTCTGAAGATGGTCAGCTGACTGAAACATGTAAAGGCAATATATCTATAAATTGAATCACACTGGATGGTGTCAACAATTATTCTATAATTTAACACAGAAGCAGTATCAGCAAAGCAGTTAATTTTGTGATAACATCTGTTCTATGTAGCTATTCACTACTGACTGTGTCGATGTTGCCAATGGGCGACATATTTTTCACTTGCATCTTTTATTGTTAGCAGCTATGTAGTGAAGTCAAAATAAGTAGTTACTATAGGATTCTGACGATGGTGTATAACACACTGATATATTGAGTTTTTGGACTTTATCCATTGTCCTGGTTTCTAGGATAACTAATAAAAACATGACATTTCGGAAACTTGATCTGTTTCCATCCTCAGGTGAAGGAAAACAACTATTCTGTTGAGTCCCTTAGAAAGAGCTAGCCTCAATCACTGGACGATTGAGGACGAGTGATTGAGGCTAGCTCTTTCTAAGGGACCCAACAGAATAGGTGTTTTCCTTCACCTGAGGATGGAAACAGATCCAGTTTCCGAAACGTCGTGTTTTTATTAGTTATCTTAGAAACCAGGACGATGGATAAAGTCCAAAAACTCAATATATCAGAAGTCAAAATAGTCTGACCAAACATGTTCTTAAGCCATTAAAGTTACGAGTATATCTGCTGAAGTTAACTCCAGAATCACCCATGAAAAGATGACAGCCACAAGCATAATTCTAATTTTTGTGTAAGCGCAGTTCAGCTAAACCCGAAACATGAACGGGCACTTATTCATTTCAGCAGTATTAGGAACAGCACACAGGCTGAAATGATGTACGGCATCCTAGCAGTGATCTCACTTACAGCAAACAGCTTTCAGTAATTATGTGTACAGCATTCATTACACTTGTAAAGGTTATATTCCTTCAGTAGTACTAGCAAATGAAGGACAATTTTAATGTACATTGTTTAAGTATCTTGAGAGCATATCTCCCCCTTCCCAGAGAGCAACATTGGCATTCAATTCAGTGTTAGATAATGCTATCCTTAATAGTCACACAGTGTTGCAATATGGGTTACAATCATCATTACATCAATCTCAGCAATAAAATGAAGATTATATTGTTCTCAAGTTTCAATACACTTGGACTGGTCTCTGTTAATTTGCCTATAAACCTATTTCAAGAGTCATGAAGCATGGAATTAGTTACAGTATGTGCCAAACCCCATTTTATATTGTCATGTGTTAGTGAAGGCGACAACCATGTCAGGTTCTTGTTATGTCACGAGCCATTGCCTCTCAATGAATCAGGTATTATTATGTGTTCACCCAGCCGTTGCCTAGTAACGGCTTCCCCTTTCAGATATCCTGTCACAAATATAATATGACATTCCCACATGCTCATAACAGTGGTCAATTGGTTAGTTAACAAGATTAGCAATCAAAGTGTTCCAGAATTGATCCCAACTGCTGACATACAATACTGAACAAAAAAAGCTGTCAGTATGACAACCAGTTAGTGAAGAGGCACAGTGGAAAAACCATGTCCTGGAACAGTCCCCATATAGTCTCTCTACAGAACACCAGCCACTTAAATGTAGGCAAATTTCCTCCTCAAACTGGTGTCATTTTTTTTCCAAAAAACATTTACAATCAAGGAGCATTAAAAATACTGCCTTCATACTCTTCTAACCACAACTGGGGCTTAAATGATTATTTGACAGTATTTTTGAATTTATTATGTTAACAGAACATTGCTTAGACAGACTTGAAAGGATTCTGACAATGGTGTATACTGTACTTCTTTTGGCTTGTTTTGGACTTCATCCATCGTCTGGTATGTAAAAGACAAAAGACCATGACGTTTTGGAGACTGGACCAGTGATTGAGACTAGCTCTTCTAATGGGCCCAACTGAGTAGGTTTATCCTTTCCCAACAACCTGAAGACAGAGACAGATCCAGTCTCTGAAACATCGTGGTCTTTTGTCTTTTACATACCAGACGATGGATGAAGTCCAAAAAAAGCCAAAGGAAGTATAACATTGCTTTTAGACTGACATAAAGGTAAAACAAAGTTACCTTTGCACCAAACCGAAAGACATATAGGAGCAGTGGGAACAAAGGTTCACATGTTCTACACCTCAGTACGATATGAAGATGGTGGGTGATCAAATTTTCTCTCTGACTGACTTTGTTCTTGAACAGTCACTGGTACCCACTGGATGGGAGGCTGGGTGCGTTCCATAGCTGGTATGGATATAGTGGCAAATATATAAATCTCTATCCTTGCTGGAATTAAAATCCTGGTCATCATGCCAGTGCCATTCTTGATGAAGGAGGTCCTGCCTCAGAGATTTTCAGGCCGATGTTATAATGAAATTCATTATTGAACTAAATATATGAGGAACCCCAAGGAGGGGGTTTTCAGCCTTTTAGACTATGTGGCTCATTTCTTCAAATGATAACAATCAGAAATCTACCAACAGAAACAACAGCTGATGGAGCAAAGTCAGGCTGATAAATCTTTTTAAATCACATGTTTGCTTCATAATGCAGAAAAAGTATAGATGAACAACTATTTACCTTTCCTCTAAACAAAATTGAATTTTCAGGCATAATTTTATAAACTACAGTATACTGCAATCATTTACTTTAAATCTGTGATCCATGCAAGTCATCCATGCAACCCAACAACTATACAACACTCACTGTAGACTTCTCCACATGTATGGTAGGGCGTGCAGATGGATAGAGGAGGAACACCAAGTTGATTCCAACTCCAATAATGATTCCATACTCAACAGCAATAACCAGACATGTGATGAAGGTAACAAATGTTGGAATTAAGTCTTTACCTACAATGCAAATAGACACACCATGTTAGTTGTGATATGTGCTGTATGCAAACCCACTGAAGGCAACTCCAGGACATGCAGTAACACTCTTCGCTATCTGAACCACAACCAGAGAATATACTGTTATAAGAAACTTGTAAAAGAAACCATTATTTTTCAGAGTTTTTCTTTAAGTAAACTACACTAAAATACAGAAAATGCTTAGTTGTTATGATAATCTTATAAATATAGAGTCCATCTAAAAAACACTCCATTTTTATTTGGCTACAATTTTTGGATCATGTGGAATTGAGCAGTGTGGTCTAGAAGTAACACCGGACTTGCATTCAAGAGTTCTTTGGTTAATATCAGCCAGTACTATGACTATCCTCACTGAAGTTTCTCAGTTTTTCTCAGTCCCTCCAGGCAAATACCAGGATATTACCTTGAATAAACTATTACTACTTCTTTCCAAATCCTTTCTAATAACCAACAAAAAAATGCTTAAAATGTGATACTTCTGTACACGCACTCATATAGTTGACGACAGTGTTGATGTCACACACTGCCCTCCACATTGTGAGTGGAAGCTGCTGTGTATACAGAACCAGAAGTCTAGGCATGACAAATGACTTGAACTTACGGCTTGACTTCCACATGGGCTTCACCACTTCATATTCAATCATGAAGACGACAGCACATATAATCACAGCAGCCAGTGATGCTTTTGGAATGAAATAAAAGTAAGGCGTAAGAAGGCCAAGAGCCAGAAGAATAAGGACACCTGTGAAGAGATGAAAGTACACGACTAAAGAAATACTGCGTATAATGTGACTGACTGTTGCTCAGGTGCATACACTGACTGTGACTGACTCATATTCCTCAGACTGCTGCAGCACTTCCACTGCACACTGAACTGTAGGTACTGTTAGTTCCTCAGAACTCTAGCCGTGGTAGAGAGGTCATACCATCTCTCGCAGGGCTGGAGGAGCAGTCTTATCAGCTTATGTCAGTGTGGGTACTACCAGTTTGGAATGTATCGTCTTGGAGTATGGTCACGTGTATAGTACGTTGTGTTGTATGTTAGTTGGTACTAGTCATAGTGATTGTATTATGTGGTGTTCGTGTCACTATCATGGCACACCAACAATCGCACGGAACAATTCATAGTGAGGACAGGGAAGTAATAGCTAATGTTTTCTGCTCGGGGAGTAGCTCTGAACGTCACCACAGCAACCATAAAGCTTTGAGTGCTCCACAACAGCGTTTACCTTTCTGCGTGGCTAAAGTTATGAGGCACTAACTATACAATAAATCCTGAATACACAAAATCTTACTTTTACAAAAACAGCTTTCTGTCCCCAGTTGGTAGCCCATACTGATCATTGTAATTCATTTCAAAGTGACAAAATTCCATATTAAATAAATATCAGTACTACAAGAACACACTGAGCAAACTGGTGTAGAGGTAGAATTCCAGACATGTATTTGGGAGGTTCTTGGTTTGAATTTCGGCCAGAACGCAAGCTATCCTGACTGAGGTTTCTCATGGTTTTCCACAGGACATCCAGGCAAATGCCATACAGCACTTCAATTAGGCTATGACTACTTCCTTCCAAATCCTTTTGAATTCATTAATCATTAATCATCCAATCATTCAGCACTACACAGTTTGAGGTACTGATATTATCATAAAATAAACCTCTAAAAAGAATATGCAGTACATTCTCCTCCATAGTATTTTCAGAATACAGCTGCAATATCAACACTATATAGTACATATTACATACTGTTCCATTATAATCCCATTTCTTCAACAATCCACTGGATTCAAAGAACAGAACAGTCCATCTGAACAATACTGCCTTCTGGGATGAGTGCATGTGCTTTTTAGGATACCAGATAATAGACAAAGTCCAAAAACTATGTAATCCTCAGCCCTTACCTGTATAGAAACCACCAAATGGAGTCATGACACCACTTGCATGGTTAACGGCACTACGTGAGAAAGATCCAGTGACTGGGAATGAAGAAGCAAATGATCCTAACAGATTACAGATGCCAAGTGTCAGGAGCTCTTGTGTAGCATCTACAGAATCTCCACTGGCTGAAATATTAATTAATTTCCATGTAAAAAAAAACAAATAAATTATATTCAATCATTATGTTTAAATTAAAAAAATATGGGGTATATTCACTTACATTCTTACACTTGTAATAACCAAGAGAATACAATATACCATACATTTCCAGCCTGATATGTTTCAACCACCTACATTATCTTCTGGGGCATTTTCGCATAGTGGGGGGTGGAATCCAACTGGGTCCACTCGGCACGGCGGCCACTGATTGGTCTGTTGTACCTGCACCGAGTGATTATGATGATGATGAATTTGGTGAAATGAAGATTGGCAGGGGAAACCAAAGTACTCGGAGAAAACCTGCCTCAACGCCACTTTGTCCACCACAAATCCTACTTGACCAGACCCAGGCTTGAACCTGGGCCGGCACGGTTGGAAGCCAGCGGCTAACTGCTTGAGCTATGGCACGGCCATTTCTGGGGCGTTACTTAAATATAATACATTCTCAATGTAAACCTTTAAAGCTTATGAATAATAATACACCTCTTACATAATCTAGATGGTTGAAACATATCAGGCCAAAAACACATTTTGATGTGTATCATATTTGTAAATGTTTATGAATTATAATGCAGAAATATAGTCCTCTCTACTTATGATGACAATATAAAGCATGTGTGAGCCAGGATAGCTCAGTCGGTATAGCAACTGGCTATGAGCAGGACAGCCGAGGGGTCAGAGTTCAAGTCCCGGTAGGATAAAAAAATTTCCATTCTCCATGTCGTCCAGACTGGCCCTGGGGTCCACCCAACCTCCTATTCAATGGGTACCGGGGGCTCTTTCCCCAGGGGTAAAGCAGCAGGGGCATGAAGCTGACCACTCACCTCCAGCTAGTGCAAAGGTCAAGAAAATGTGGATTTATACATCCACGTCTTCATGGCGTAGTGCTTAATTAGTTAAGCACAGGGACAACTTTATCTTTTTCATTATATATGTAATGCATGTAAACAGCAGATGTATTGTTTCATTATACTTCCAATTCTTCTACAACATCTGCTGGATGCAAGAAATTAAACCTATAGTTGAAGTATTATATTTTCATCCATATTAAAAACTATCAATAATCATGTATGAATCAAGTGTAATTACTATGATCTCTAAGAACAGCAATGAGTTGGCAGATACAATGATGCCATGAATGGAGCAGTATTTTGTCTGTCCAGTGGTACTCATGTGACTAGCAGCAGGTGCAGTGGGAAACTGGACATCATGAAACATGGAACCTAAATATCTCATATAACAAGAATTCGCAGTCTATATGTAAAACAAAATATGACTAGAGGCATCAGGACCAATTCTACTTCGTGCCACCTGTACGATTTCACACAATTAATGCGTCTAGATTACTGAATTTCTAGACTTTGTGCAATATCCAATATTCCGAAAGAACGGGCAGTATTTTGGAAAGTAAAAAAAGTAAAAGTAAAGGTATCCTTGTAACAGGCCGTGCAGGCCCATAAGGTTGTGAGATGTTGAGGTTCCCACATTTTTCTAGACAATCGGCTCATAGATGGCTGCAAAGTTGTCAGCCCTATGCGCCAGCCGCCTTTTACCCCCAAGAATATTCCTGGTACTCATTTCTATTAGAGGCTGAGTTGACCCCATGGCCATAGTGTGGCTGGAAGGATTAGGTCAATTGAAGAAAATCCAATGACCTCATCAGGACTTGAACCAACGACCTTCCTGCTTGTAGCATAGTGCCTCAACCAACTAGGCTACCGCGTGCCCCTGGCAATGTTTTGGAAACTGGATTTTTTTCCATCCTCAGTTGAGAGTCTGGGAAGACACTGGACCTGTTCCAGTAATTCAGATTAGCTCTACTTAACGGACTGAAGACATACCCACCCTTTCATCTGAGAATGGAAACAGAACCAGTTTCTGACACATTGTGTTCTTTTAGAATATTACACAATGGACAAATTCCAGTAGTTCTGTAATCCCAAGTGTAATACATCATCAGAACCCTTAGAACTTAAGTGAAACATATGCCTGAATGCAATGATTTGGCTCTCGCACGAAGTAAACAGTGAAGGATAACATTTTTGCATGGGTCAGAAATGTGCTGCTTTGAACACCCATTTTCTTTTAATGGCACTATTATAGCCACTATTCACAAGCAGGAATCACAGATAATTCTTGATATGTGGTGTTCATTAGTGTCTGATATGTTATAATCAATTAAATCACTGTCATAAGCTGTCTCTCCATCATACGATATAGGAATATTAATTTTCATTTTAACTCACAGAAGGCTTTAGCAATGGCCACATTTCCTAACACTCCAATAATAGGCACCAGAACAATCGAGGACCCTAGCTCAGAGCACATGTCTGCAAAGGAATATGTCTGATTGCCAAGGTTGGTACCAAATGGCGGCAAACCAAAAGATGGCAACCCTGATCGTACAGTGCCTAAAAAATTGAGCACAATCAGCATTAATATGTATATATGACACAAATTAAAGAAATATAAAGAGACACAATATGATATACTATTTGAAAATTTTCTTTCTTAAGCACTATATTCAAAGAAAATGATGAAACATTGTTAGTAACATCATGCTGAGCTTTAGAAAGGCAAACTGTTACATATAAGTACTGATCATATTTAAAGATCTTCTTTACATATCAAAGAATAAAAGGAAGCAGGAAGAAGTTAGAATCAAAATTAAAAGAAGGAAGATCATCAAAAAAGAAAAAAGGATGAGGCCAAGAGTACTAAAAGGAATCTATCTGTTCAGTGACTCAATATGAACAAGCCACTTATTGGAATAAAACAGAAAACAGAGTTTTGATGCCAAAAGGACACGTTTACTCAAGACTGACACAATATTGTTTCACTTGAAATCTGTTTCAGTGATTTAAATTAAATTAGTCTGTCAAAAGCTTCTTCAATAATATGTCTTGTTCTATTACTGGAAAAGGGTATCAAAAATCCAACTCATAATAATTAAAATATTCAATTTTTTTGTTTTTGTTGTTTTTTTTGACATGAAGTTCCTTTGCAGAGTTTTTTGGAAAACTTACAAAAACCAATGGCTTTTTCTATACTGAGTGAATAGAATTGCTTGTATAATGCCTCAATAATCAACAATAATCAACCATGAATAAGAAACCCTTAAACAGCCAAAGTCTTCAAATCGGCCACTACAATGGTGTCTCTAACCTACTGCAAGAAACAATGGGTGACCTTAAGTGCCACACAGAAATTCTGATGGACAATACCCCCCAAACAGAAAACAACATGTATGTTTTCAGCTTATTTATGAAAATGCTTTTCAAAATGTGAATCTGAAGAATTTAATGACTATGCTCACAAACAAGTCAGTTTCCAAGAATAAAAATTTAATGCAATAATCTGAATGTAGATCAAATGTTGACAATACTGTGATCATTACACAAAACATGCAACCAAAAGCAATAGCTTAGTGAAAAACTGTTCACGTGCTATGCTTGCCATTTTGATTTTTAAAAAGTGATTTAATGAGACTGCTCGGTTCAGGCACTCTTTTGGATCTTTGAGAAAGCGCGTGTGTATAGATGGAGAATGGAATTCATATGATTCAGAAAACATCTAATGGCAATGGTAATGAACCTCTGGGTCCATAGAAGCAGACAGTACCTTGAGCAGCTGGACAGCCATTACCTTTGGACTTTAGTTACAAATATTTTTGAGAATATCTCAACATTTATTGACGTTAAGAAAGTGAAAAATGACTATTTACATATCATTTAAAGATATAAGAATTTTGAAGAATGTGAACTCTCATTTAAAGCCATCTTGGTAACAAAGTCTTCTGAAAAACTCTTTTTGGGCAATCAGCAATATGTTTCCACCATCAGTGAGTGATGTTATGTGACAATTGATCCCTGATGATGGAAACAGATGATCTTCAAAACACTGGATGTTTCCTCTGAACTGACATGGTTGACCACTCAAAAATATTTTGCCACTTTAGCTGCAACGAAAGCTTCAAGTCTTAAATTTAACTCTTTCTGTATCATTTAAATTCACTATAATGTGACCTACCAAACCACTTAATTTAAAACCCCTGTACACTTTTTTTTTTTTTCATTTTGTGCATCCTGTTCTGTTATTATATACAATTCTTTATTAGAGTCCGTCGCAACACAACAATACAATGGCCTAGGTTAAAATTACCTTAGCTACATGTTTCGGCTTTTAAAGCCATCATCAGGCAAATATGAATACCATATTCACACGCCACTGAACTGCAATTGCATTGGTGAAGCTGGACACTTGATAATTATTACATTATAAAATACATGGTACAAAAATACAATGAATTATAAACTTATTATAAAACGAAAGTTATGGAGTAAAATATGGTTAAAAACTCTTCATGTGATATTGCATATCATGAAGTCCGTTGTTGAAATCTTGTTATATTCCCGCGGACATAATGGTATATTTTAGACTTGTATACATATAGTAAACTGCTTGGAGGCCCGTAGTATAGATGTAGTATTATTTGACATTAATTGTTTGGCCGGTGCCTCATCTTACAATATATTTTGTCCGTTCTGTTGGGAATACAGATTGCAGCTTTACTACCACAGTGAAATTGCAGTTCAATAGTGTGTGAATATAGTAACCATGTGTTTGCTTGATGATGGCTTTAAAAGCTGAAACATGTAGCTAAGTTAATTTTACCCTTGACCATTATGTTGTTGTGTTACGACGGACTCCAATAAAGAATTGTCCTCTTTACACATTATATTTCAGTACATTAAATGCAGCAGGAGACATTTAATTTTACTGTATTCTACCACATTAAGCATAGCAAAGCCCTTAAATAAGAGTGTACTTGAAAATCTCTAACAAAGAATTGACTTTTGTTCATGACACCAAAAATGTAGCGATATTCTTGATAATATGTTAGGTACTGTACTTTAATCACTGACACATGTTATGGCAAGAAGCTGATTACAAAGTGAGTCTACCTGTAAGTATGAAAGGTGAGTCTTCATTTTCTGCATGGAGGTTATATGCAATAAACGAGCAAACAACAACAACAAAAACATTACGAGCTGTTGATATAAGCCACAATGTCTTCATAATGGTTTTCTGTCTTTTATTTGGTTTACCATCCTTTGGTCCAAGTTTAATGTCCTTAATTTTCTGAAACAAATTAATTACTATAAGTCAAATGAAAATAAATCTAGTCCAAATTGCAAAACTTTGTTTGCATAGTCTACAGTCCTGTTCAGTGTTCAGTTCCTGAGCTCTTATGTAATTACAATTTGAATAAATAAATCCTAACCACCTGTCAAACAGTACTTCTTTAACTACTTCTAGAAATTCTGAATATAATGTTCCTTTCAGCATACACATTTTATGTTAAAAATGTATATTTCAAGATCACTGTGTCTGAAATGGTATAAAGCATGACCTCTATGAAGAATCTTTCATGAATCTGTAACTACTTTGAATTCACGAATGAACTCCCTTTTTATAACTGCCAGGCAGCCAGGATAGAAGTCACCATGTTCCTTTATGTTGTCATGGGAATGACTTTCTATATAAGATTTTCCTAAATGTCTCTCTCTGTCTGTCTATGTTCAGTTGCTCTGCTATGGTTCTGATAGTCAGCTGACGATTTTCACGCATAATTCAACAAACTTTAGCAATGTTTTCTTCTGTTCTGCTCATTGCTGGCCATCCTGATCTCTCCTAGTCAGTAACACTTTCTCTTCCCTCGCGCCACGTGATAGCTCAAGAGGTTAGTTGCTGGCTTCCCACTGCAGTGGCCTGTGTTTGATCCCGGGTCTGGTCAAGTTGGATTTGTGGTGGAAAAAGTGGCCCTTGGGCGGGTTTTCTCTGAGTACTTCGGTTTCCCCTGCCAATCTTCATTCCACCAAATTCTCCATCATCATAATCACCCGGGGCAGGCTACAATAGGCCAATCAGTGGCCGCCATGCCGAGTGAACCCAGTTGGACTCCATCCCCCACTAAGCGAATTTTCTCTTCCCTCAGAAAAACATGTCACCCACTTGTAAATTGCTGTTTTCTTCATAGCATTATCCCCATAAACTTGTCCTAATATCTCTCTGATTTTGCTTCCACCCTTTCTAAGTTTGACAAGAAATTTAATGTTCATTTGTTGCTCTAATTCAAGCTCCGACATTCTCGTGACAGCATACCAAAACACACTCCGACAATAATAGATGCCACTCAGAAGGAGACTGCCATAGATCAACAACAACGCAGCTGTGAAACGCTGATATGCCTATGTCATCAGACCATTCTGAGGTTTCTGTCCACTGCTCCCACAGGAAGCACACGGTGGTGAGTTCGCAAACTTTATTGTCAGATGTCGTAATCAACTATTTCTTCTAAAAAATGAATGAGGTAATTTTGATCTCCATGTCAAGTTCAGGTGCTTACATGGACTGATATAAACCAAAATTAAATTTGTTCAACATCTTTTGGTGTACACTCCAAATACAAAATTTAATTAAAATTCATTTACTAGTTTAGGGAACACAATATCTAGATGGACAGAGAATACTTTCTCCACAGGCTTTTACTGTGTGCATAAAACATGCACAATACTTCACCCAGTACAAGGATACACATTTCTCACCCTAAGTAAAAGAAGCACAACGATGCAGGTAAATCCTAAGGTAGCATCCCATGGTCTTGTCTTAGGAATATGAGTCCATACTTTGTTTACAGTGTCAAGAAAACCATTTGACTTGAAGCTCAGTCCCAGCAAACCTTTCAGTTGGGAGCAGGCAATTATTACTGATGTGGCAGAAGTAAAGCCAACAGTTACTGGAATCGAAATGAAATCCACCAAGACACCTGTACAGAGAAGGGAAGAAAATCATATTTACAGATATGAAGAGGAAGAGCAGAAATATATACTTAGACATTACAAACACACATTTTCATTAGGATACACAAATGAACAATCTGGATACCATTAACACTGTGAGGCCCACACATTTTGATACATGACAATGCAGTTGCATTGGAAGGACTCATGTTTTGTATTTGTAAAATCTTGTGTTCAAATCTTAGCCGAGATAACAGCTATCCTGGCTGAGGTACCCCTAGGTTTTCATCAGAAATGAAATGAAATGTTGTGCTTCATTCTTCCAGAATGAGGAAAACTTTGCCACTTCAGTTCCAGGTCAAATAAATGCATCTCACTTATCCACCATTAAAATAAGATAAAAAACTACAGTCTCTCTTCTGCCAACAATGGAAACAGATAGTGGACAGCAACACAAACATGGAAACCCAATCACTGGTCAACACATGTGCAATTAAACTTTCAACAGGTCTTTGAATTTACAGTGGTGCATTTAATTGTGTTGAATGGATGAGTATTCCACTATACATTTTCACTTGCAGCACACCAAAATTTGTAACAGACACATGAGAGCACACTACAAAATTTTACTACGTATAAATGGGGTAAATGGTCACAAATGTATAAAAATCCTTGCCCTATATTACATTAAGGATTGCATGAATATCAGTAATAATAAAATTACAGGATGAGGTGGGCAGAGCATGTAGCACGAATGGGGGAGACGAGGAATGCGTATAGGATATTGGTGGGAAAGCCAGAAGGAAAGAGACTACAGGGAAGACCAAGGCGTAGGTGGGTGGACAATATTAGAATGGATCTTAGAGATAGGATGGAATGGTGTGGATTGGATAGATCTGACTCAAAATAGGGACCAGTGGAGAGCTCTTGTGAACACGGTGCTGAATCTTTGGGTTCCATAAAATGCTGGGAAATTCTTGTTTAGCTGCAGAACTGGCAGCTCCTCAAGAAGGGCTCAGCTTCATGAGTAAGTGAGTAAGTAAGTAATATATTCAGACAAAGGCCACGCCATAGCTCAAGCGGTTAGTCACTGGCTTCCCACTGCGGTGGCCTGGGTTCGATCCCGGGTCTGGTCGAATGGGATTTATGGTGGACAAAGTGGTGCTGGGACACATTTTCTCTGAGTGCTTCGGTTTCCCCTGCCAATCTTCATTCCACCAATTGCTACACAATCACCCTCACCTATCATCTGGGGCTGGTACAATAGGCCAGAAATGGCCGCAATGCAAGGGACTTAGTCCCACCCCACTAGCAATAAAAAAAAGTATTCAGACAAAAGTCAATGACCTTCCTGATTTGCACTGTAGGATCCCTGATGAAGTAGCATATATAACCCTGGCGATGTTAAGAAATATCGGGGCATGGAATATCAAATGCTTGTCAGCCACATAGAAAGGGAGGCAGACGTCAAGATCTACAGATATAATAAAATATTTGATGAATATTTACACTTTTCACCTCAAACAGCTTGCATGTATCTTCATTGGGAAGGAGGTTATTTAGTTTCTCTATTGACCATGTTCATTTTGGACAACTGTAGATGTTATAAGGTACATACCTAAATGAAGTATCGCCATTAGCAACTGTACACAGCCCGTGAGAAAGCACAACAAAATGGCAAAGTCTGCATTACGCCCAATGACCTGCTGGTAAGTCATGAGGGCCATAAGAGCTGTTGGTCCAATTGTGATATCCTTACAACTCCCAAACACAACATACACAAAACAGCCCACAAAAGCAGAGTACAAACCATACTGAAAGAAAGGAACAACAATGCTTTTATATGTCTTCTGCCTTGTGTAACCAAGGGACAATAATTTCCAAAAGCGTTTTTGTTTTCTATTTTGTATATCTCACTGGGCTTAATATTTATTTATTTGCCAGAGACACAAATCTACTGTTGCAGAGTTAACTGCATTAAAGTTACCGTGGTATGTCTGCTGAAAGCCAGAACGGTGAGGCCAGCAGAGACAGCCATTGCTAGGCAACAGCTCTGCAAACATGGCCATAACTAGGCAATGGCCAAGGAGTGTAATAAGACAGCAGTCAGAAGAGTGGGAGAGTGGTGTGAGATGACCACCAGCCTAAGAGGATGTGAACCCACAAGCAGAGGAACGTCCATTTTTGGAAGATGTTACCAAGCAGCGCAGTGAAGACAGTGACTGAGAATACTACTGCAGTCTGTGTGTGATAGTGATTTGTAAAGTGTAGTCATAAGTTACGTGTTAAAGTGTTCAATAAATCTGATTACCAATCCAAACCCCATCTACAGTCACGATATCATGTGACAACCGGTGTCAGACATGGGATCATGGGATTGGAAAGTATCGGATTGAGTGAATAATTGGACTGAAGACCCTGAATCGTTATATCGCCACACTAGAGAGATGGAACAAATGATGAAATGCCTGCTGCCTGAAATAAGAGCCAACCAAGCCAAAACGGATGCCAACCTAAAGGAGACCATAGCAGAAATGAGGGCCTGGTGAAAAGTGATAGCAAGGCCCACCAAGAGGTGACAGGGGCCTACCCTGAAAGGACAGAGACAAGACAGAGACTGGCCAAAAACCAATGGAAGCCAAAATTAAGACAGGCATAGAAGAAGTGAAAGCCATGGATATGGAAGCAAATCCAGAACAAATATAGGTCATGACAGAGCAAAAGGAAGTTACTAACGAAAAGGCAGCAGTAGAGACAGTTGGAGCTCTGAAGGATCAGTCTGGGGACTAGCGTCTGACCGTAAGGTGCCGCAGCCGGTTTATCCACCATGACCCTCCTGCACTGTGCAAGGGACGTGGTCATAAGGGATCTCGCATGATGTTTGGAAACAACGGCATAGGACAAAGCAGGAGACAGGAGCTATGCCTGGGAAACAAGGGGACATTTGATGAGACCCTTGTGCAAACCATCGGGCTGGAGATCATGAAGCAAACAGCTGGGTCTTCCATAAGGTCTGAAAAATGAGCGTCAAGACACTGTGGAGGAGCCAGCCACCGCCCAAGCAAAATAGGAGATAGAATACAGCTTAAGAGACAAGCTGTAGGGGCGCCAGGCACTCTTGGAAGTTTTGCCAGCACTGTCCAGAAAATAAGAAATGATGATAAGCCTGTAGGCTACTCGGACCAAGCAGCCTTAAGGAGGGAGCAATGTGGCCTGTCTGCTGAAAGCAAGAATTGTGAAGCCAGCAGATAGCTGTTACTAGGGAACAGTTCTGCAAACACACCTGTGGCTAGGCAACAGCTCCAAAAGCATACAAAAATACTAGGACCCTCATTAAACTATGTACCCATGCAAAAATGAACTGTTTCATTCTCTCTTACTTAACACTTCAGTGTATCTGTTTGTAAGATTGTGACAAGTGTGTAAATGTATACAATTGTTTATAAAACATTTGTATCTGCAATAAATGATGATAAAGGCTAAAGGGGTATCTAACCCAACAAAATATTCATTTGGAAAACATGATGTACTCTAGTGGAGTATATCTTTCCACCCTTTATTTAAAATGCAGACAACTTTTGTTAAAGGAACCTGTAAATAAAAAAATAACACGGCAATCAACAATTCTAAATCCAAAGCAGAAACAAAATAAGCTGACCCACAAACCTCTTTATGATAAATTAGGACACATGAAAATACCATAGTGTTAAGTAAGAAATTTCTCACACCTGTGGTTCCAGTCCTGCAAGAGTTGCATATGCTAGGCTCTGCGGTATCACAGTAAGACCAACTGTCACTCCTGCTATGAGATCACAGATGAATTTGTCTGCATTGTAGAGTGGCATCCAAGACAAGATTGGTACACAGCGGTACAGTGAAGTCTTTAATCTCTTCATCCATGTTGCATGATTATTTTCAGAATTACCGATGGATGTCGACAATGACATTTGAAATTTGTTTAATCGGTGAAAAATATTATCTGAAATGCAAATGTTGTAAGTATCAGATGTTTAATTTGTACAATGAATATCATTCAGGTAATTTCACACATCTTTTAAGATTACAACAATTATAAATATGCAGCCTGTACAGGGAATTATGAACCATCTCTCTTACAGAGTCATATTTTGATATGCCACAGCATTTTGCTACCATGAAATTCATGCTTTAAAGAATGAATATTCTGCACAAGTACAAAGTTTCCCAAAATAAGAAGAAAGAGACGGAGAATAAATGAGGGGAGAAAAAATGAAAGTCAGAATAAGAGCAAATGAAAAGATGAGGAGAAAAAGCAAAGCTAGTGGAGGAAGAAGAGGGGATGTTGAAGGGGAAAAAGGAGGGACACAAGAAAAGAGAAAGAAAGGACAGAAAGCATTAAAGACAGAAAGAAAGGAAGTCTATAACTTCTTTAATAAATACTACTTATCCATGCTAATTTTGATTGCACGAAATGTGCACTAATTCAACATTTTTGGCTGGGATAAAGAACAGACTGTATGTGAATATCTGTTAATAAAATTTGTAGATCACAGTGTTGCATATGAGACTGCAAACCACTAACTCACAAAAACCTCATACATTTCAATTTTCTGCACGATGGTGAAAAAGACGAAAGCAAAGGTTAAAATAAATGGGGAGCTTAGCTAAGGATTCGAAATAAGCTGTGGAGTGAAACACGGTGACCCATTATCTGCATAAATTTTCATACTGGTTACAGATGAGATCATAAAAAGTCTAGACATTGGATGTAACATCTCCACAGGGTTAAAACAGTGTTGTGCACATACCAACGACATACTCATTATTGCAAGAACCAAACAAAGATTGATTAACATCTTTGAAGAGCTTAAAAAGCCTCACAAAAGTATGGGCTGTTAGTCAACGAACAAAAAACTAAATTCCTACACTTTTCTAACAAACCTCAAATACGTAGGTAAGTCAATAAGGAAGTTACAAAAGGATACAGAACTTAAACAAATAAGAGTACTGATTTGAAAAATGCTTTCGTTTCTCAACATAATCTCCCTGTACATTGAGGCACTTGTCCCATCGTTTCACAAGCCCCTGAAAACCAGCAGCATAAAACACTTTGGGCTGCTGTCGGAACCAGGCGGTGACTGGGATCACGAAGGCATACTGCTCACCGCATTCCAGCCTCAAGGACAAACCGTTAACGCTGACTCCTACTGTAACATCCTCAGGAAACTTCGTAAGGAAGCGACCAGGACTCCTCACCAAAGGTGTGTTGCTCTTGCATGAAAACGCGCGTGACACCCTTGCCTCACCCCCCATACTCATCTCATCTTGCCCCTGTGCGACTTTTTTTTTATTTCCTCAGATGAAAAGAGATCTCAAGGGAAAACGTCTTGCTGATGTTGAAGACATAAAGAAAAAAACGACGGGAGCACTAAAAGGCATCAACAACGATGAATTTAAAAAATGTTTTAAGCAATGGAAAAAACGTTTGGACAAGTGCACTGAATCAAATGGAGAATACTTTGAAGGGGATTAAAGTTTTGTTGTGTAAAAATAAATATATAATTTGTTATAAACAAATTCCGTTTTTTTTTAGGGGGTCCCCCTCATACATTACACAACAGCAAAGGTCAGAATGATTACAAAGAATGTGGCAGGCAGCAACGGTCTATTTTAAGATACTGTCCCAGGACATGTCTAGAGTAACCAAGGAAATTTATATTAAATACCATCAGCGGTAGTTTCTCTGAACATGTGGTTAATAAAACATAAAAATGGCTCTTTTAAGAGGCATAATAATCTTCTGCCACATGGGGGGAAATGGAGTAGAGGGAAGGCCCAACCCTTTATGCGACATACTTTGTTTTCAAGAGGAAAAATGGAGATGCAAGAACATTTGAAAAAGACTGTCCTTTACAGGGCCTCCCTAAGTTTTTCTCACAGAAGGGAAATATCCCCGTGGGTATGAATTGATAAGACAATCATCTTTTCCTTCTGAGGGCTCAGGTAGAGAGGTGCCATTTAGGAGGAAGTAAATAATATGATCATGAGGCCCAAGGACATGGGAAAAAGGAATAAGTGTTGTCTGGGCCAAAGTGAAAGATGAACAAAAGAGATCCCTGAAGATAGCGGAAATATGCTCATCTGAAATATTGGTAAACCTTTACCAGATGGTGTCACAACCAAGAAGACAGTTTTCTTCCCCATCAATCTCTGTTCTTCTTTTAATATGAGAGACCAAATTTTGCACATGTACTTAAAAACATGTAAAATTACAGTTCTGCATTTTTTATCTATGCCTTCATATAGCAGATGGGTATATGTAAGTTTCTTAAAGAATAATAACACACAGTCCCTGAACTTAATCTTCTCATAACTTCTTCATGAATGTATTTTTTTCCCCCCCTTGCTGTCATTCCCTTGACATTTGCTATACTGTTGAAGGATTAAAATAAGCCATATTTTGATTACAATTTTATTCTGCATTCTGGTGATAACATAAAAATATCTTTACAACTTCCTAGCGCTCTTTAATTTTCCACATATTTTGACTTTGAATACTGCCTCTCTTACATTAAAAAAAGAAACTTAAAGGAAGTCTGGCCGTGCCCTTAGTCATATCTAAGTACAAGAATTTTCAGTAATTTTCAATAGATTTTCCGTCAAGTGCAACAATGTATATTTTGATCAAAATATATATTGTTGCACTTGACGGAAAATCTATTGACAATTAGTGATTGATAGTGTAACGGACCAAAATGAAACAATTCAAAGTACAAGAATTTTACCATCTAGAAGAAAACATTACCATAACATACTTTCTGGGCCCCATTATAGAAAACTAGTTCTTATCACTAGGAAAATATATATTTACTTCCTAATACTGTTTTAGTGTAGTTGGATATCCCTTCAAGCTAGTTTATTCCACTCTGATATGAGAAAGTTTAAAATGATCACTGTAAACACTATAAACAGAAAACAAATTCTTTGGCTTCTTCTTTAAGAAACAACGAAATTCTTTTCTCTGATAACAGTCTAAAACATAATGCCCTGAGATAATCTTCTTAATCTTAAGTCTGGAAATGAAGATATTTGTTTTCTACACTTACATGATGAGACAACATGGTACCACAAGAACAGAATATTGGTATGATCTATTATGATGCAGTAAGTTAATGAATTAATGAGGAGGAATTCAGAACTAAAAGGTTTGTTCTTGTTCTTTGTAAGATTCAAGCAAACACATCTAAAGCAGCTTATCTGTCAGAAGTCTTACTGTATCATTGCCATGTGGGTTTCACTTACATAATCAGAGAGTTTTGAGCAGTTGCCAATTTAATCAAGCAATTCAAATATTCTTCTTATCACAAATATTTTTCAGGATCAGTAAATAAAAACAACAACAATGAAAGATTCAAGGACATTACAGAGAAAACTGAATAATTATATTGCATCTCCAGTCACCAGCCACTAAACACAATCTATATGTCTAAAGACAGCTATCATGTGTTGTCTGTCCTTCACCTTCACTCATATACAGAATTACAAAGCAATTGGGGAACCAGTCTGTGTTTCAAAAATATGGCTTTATTTTTAGCTTCATGTTGGCTGATAAAATCTCTCTACTTACAGCAGAATCCTAAAAGACATGAATATAGGTATTACTCTTTCAAACAAGTATGTACTTGCACATAACCATATAGTACAGTACATGCACTATGTATTTATCATCCAAATCACAAATCAGAAAATCATATTATCATGATTTAAGTGTGTGTGACTACAGATAGGGTATGGATTTATAGATGGATTTACTGACCATTTGTATACACCACTTGGAACTACACTTTATAGATCACAACACAAACTAGTGTTCTCACTAGGGGGCATGCAGTAGTATAGTTGGTTGAAGCACTATGCTACAAGCAGGAAGTCGTGGGTTCGATTCACAATGAGGTCATTGGATTTTTCAATTTACCTAATCCTTCCAGCCACACTATGGCCCAGGGCTTACTCAGCCTCCAACAGAAATGAGTAGTAGAAATCTTCTTGGGGGTAAAGGGCAGCCAGCGCATAAGGCTGACAACTTTACTGTCATCTGTGAGCCGAATGTCTAGAAAATGTGTAAGCCTCAACATCTCACAACCCTATGGTCTTCCACAGCCTGTTACAGGGATAGTTTTACTAGCCGTTTACTGGCAATGGCTTCTATTGAGAGATATTCTTCACCTTCCTGTGATCATGTCCTCTTGTCACAGCTGTCCATGCAGAACTCTTGTCAACTGATGACTCAGTTAATTGGGTCACAGGCTGGTGGCCACTTCACATCAACCCCCTTGCCTTCTCTTCACAGGCTGACTTTCAACTGAACTGAACTCTCTCACTCACCAACCAGCTACTTCACCTCACTTCATTCAACTGAACTGTTGGCAATTCCTAAATGAACTGTCGGCTGGTGTCCTCATTATATAACCATGGGGCAGACCCAACAGAAAACAATGTCTCTAACAGTCCTTCAATAGTTGTCATGGGCAGTTGCCTAATAAGAGAATGGATATCGTCTCAGTGAGAATATGTTTACCTACCGCTGCTCAGAGTTGAGTGTTTGTTTATTCGCATGAATATGACATTAGCAACACAAGATATGGAGAAGTAGATTCTGTGCAATAGTAAATTAGTCCCTACGGGTTTACCCAGAACTCATAGTTTTATACGTTAATAATAACAAACGTGAAGAATGTATGAAATTTTTGAGATGTGACAAATTTAAAACAGCTGTCATTTCTAATAATGAATATTATAAAGAGAATGCATCTGTGGATAATATAATTTATACCTCTTATTGCTCTCACCATACAGGCTGAAACATTTCAATGAAAGTAACCTTCTTACGCTCTTCCAACAACTTCCAACAGTTAATTTGATTAATTTTATAGTATATTCTCAGAGAGTATATATTTTTTTTAATGAAGGATTTTAAACAACATAAGAACCAATTTACTATGTGAAGCCACAATTCTGCAAGCAGTGCCTTTCCTCTAAGACCCAACAATGATGAAACACACATCCTGACATCCACATTTTTATATTCAGTAACTACTTGTCTATTTATGTAACTTATAAATCAACAAATTAATGCCCAAAGCTTTCTTCCATAACAAATATATCCATAAAGTAATGACACTGCAATAAAACAAGTCATGTCAGTACTAATGCAACACCAAGTTGGTATGTACTATACATATGATCTGTCCAACACTGCATTCACAACAAAAATACAAGAACAGAAATGCACAGAAAATGCCACTACAATGTTTTCTGCAGTAACATACACTCATGATATCATGTTGAAGGGAGACAGCTTATGTGACCCTGAAAATTTACGCTTGAGCGGCTAAGCTTATTTTCCATTTCTTACGTCACATTTTCACATGTAACTTCTGTAACACACACACACACACACACACACACGTGAGCATCATCAACGTTGCAAATAGGAATAACCTAATATATATCAGAATGTTTCTGGTGGAGAACTGAAACCGATCTTCCATAAAAGATACAGAAAAGATAATAAAAATTAATATTTATAAATCTTTAATGAATCTGAGCCATTCCTTTAATATGATGCTTATATCACCAGGTACAGTTTGATTTGTAGTGATCATAGGCATAATACTTCTGAGAGTGATCAAAATACCTATCCACCAACCTAAAATAATAATTATTACATGTCTTTGTGAAAAGTAACTGATGTAAATGTTTGCAGGAGATATCATGTCTGTCCACCTGTCTGAATGTTTGATCTGAGAAAATAGAGAACCAGTTTCACCAAAATTTTGTACTGGGGGAACTGCATTTACAGTTGCCGGGTGAATTTCATTGTGTTTGATTTGAAGATGGCATAGCATGGGCTATAAAGAGCGCCATGATCTTCTGGAATGTAACACTGAGGAGTCCAGTGAACTTCTACTAGACTATACAGTGTTACATTCCAGAAGACACTACTCTTCTATATAATTTTGGTTTGTATCCATGCAATATACTCTACATAAAATGAAAACTGAATTAAAAAATGTCCTTAAACACAGTTCAACATTTCAGTTCACATAGAAGATCTGTATGACGTGACATATGCTTTTATTCTTTTCTATTAAGTTCTAAATTAGATAGACGTAATTTACTCCAATGTTGACGCTAGTTATACACTATTAGTTTTTGTTACTAGTTCTTCCTTCTATTCCATGCCGTGGGGTCATGGACCTGGTTATGAGTTTGGTTTCATGGCATAAATTTCTACAGATCTATCTATCCTGGTTCCACGCTTGTGTTTGCAACAATTTGTTATGAATATTCCTCTCATTAGCTCTCATGGACTTAGCCTGGTCTCAGGTATTTATAATCTTCATGTTTTGTGACATTTGTTTGTCAAGTGATTGAGACTAGCTCTTTCTAATGGACCCAACAGAATAGGCGTTTTCCTTCACCTGAGGATGGAAACAGATCCAGTTTCTGAAACGTCCTGTTTTTATTAGTTATCTTAAAAACCAGAACGATGGATAAAGTCCAAAAACTCAATATATCAGTGTGTTATACACCATCGTCAGAATCCTATAGTAACTACAGTTCAACATTAAAAAAAAATACATAATTTTAAAATACGCATTTAATTAATTAATATTTACAACTCTGTCTTCATACATTTCTTGATATGGTGAGTATTTAATCAAATGGTAGAAAAAAATATTTATGACATGTATATGTGGTGTGATCTGCTTTACAACAGTAAACTCCTATTTGCAATAAATAAATATCAACGTGATGAGATATGCAAAACATCAAAAAACACACCTGAAAAACATCTTGCCTTCGCTAGAGCAGTTACACAAAACAAATGAATTTCATATTGGATGCAATCAATTTTTATCATATTACTTCAATCCCTTAGATCAACTTTACCAGACCAATGAAAGAACCGACTTACTATTATCTCAAGAACGCCAATGAACCATTTAAGTTCATGGCTTCCTGCACTGCACAATTTTAACTGCCAGCTTTTTCTTTCATATTTCTGCAGAAACTTGGCTTAAAGTTCATTAGGAGGAACTAAGAATATTACAACTATTGCTTATCTGAAAGCATACTGTGATCAGTAGCTACCCATTTTCAACTCTTCAGTACCTACTTGACCATGCTGTTCTATACCCTTTAACGCACCCTTTGCAAAACTGTATAAACACACAATGGAAAAATCTTGTCTGCCCATCAGTCTGCAAGCTTAAGCTCAAAGAATTTCAACAAAATTTGGGGATCTACATCAAAAGCTGTCAGGAAACTTTCATTTTCGTCCATATCATTCAAACATAAAACTTTACATGAAACAAATTACCATTTCCCTTACAGCACATTAGATTGGTACTAACTATTAACATTCACTATTAGCTGTTTATCAGTTCAATAAATTCATTGCCTCTTTATGGAATATAAAGGTTCGTTATCTTCCACGGGGGTAAAGCGGCCTGGGCGTGAAGCTGACCATTCACCTCCAGCTAGTGCTGCGGTCAAGAAAATGTAGATCTATACATCCACTCCCCTATACGCCTTCATGGGGTAGTGCTTAATTAGTTAAGCACAGGGAAAACTTTACCATACCTTTACCTTTAAGGTTCATTATCATATTCACAAAAGAACAGTGCAGGACCATAGAATAAAATTAGTACAATATAAAACATAGATGTCATTAAGTTTCACAAATTTTATTTCGAACAATTATAGATGAGGTTAATGCGTTTAGAGTCCTCTACAAGCCACACAAAATTTACTTCACATTTGAATCAGAATCTGTGGCAATAAAATTATAATCAAAATAATAAACCCAGTGCACAATTTGGAAATGAAAAATTATAGAAGTTATATTTTGCCGCTATGTAGTGAAGGTAACGTATGTATGAGAAACAAGAGGAAAGAACACAAAAGTTTCTCGAAAAACCTTAAGGGAACAGACTTCTTAAGACAATAGTTGGGAGGATAATATGAAATTGACCTACTCCTTCCAGCTGCACTATGGCCCTGGGGTCGACTCAGCCTCTAACTGAAATGAGTACCAGGAATGTTCCTCAGGGGTAAAGGCCGGCCAGTGTGTATGGCTGATAATCTTACCACTATCTGTGAGCCAATTGTCTAGAAAATGTGAGAGCCTCAACCTCTCACAACACTATGGGCCTTCAGGCATGTTACAGGGATACCTTTTACCTTTACCTTTACCTTAGAGAAAAGGAATGTGAGGATGTGAACTGAATTCAAATGGTTCAAGACAGGGGCCATTATTAGGCTTTTCTGAGCATATTATTGACAATTTAGGTAAAAAAGAATGAAAATTTCTAGTCTAAAACAAATAACTATCAAGCGATCCAGAAAACCTGGTACAATGGAGTAAGTTATTGTAATTACATAAATTTTTGTTCTCCCTCCATTTATTTAACAGCTCTTTGTTAAATGTCTTGGCTCAATAATGTGCAAAGAAAGAAATAAATATTTATGAATGATGAGTTTTCAAAGCTGGAAGAAGACAGCTGTGGTATATTTCAAGACACTACATTGGAGAAACTGAAAAAAAAAACACATAAACTGCTAATCTGGTCCCCTTGTGAGAAATGAACTAGGGACCACCTAAATACAAAGTAGGATTACTAATCACTAGTGTGGCACATGGTGATAGTTAAATCAAGAAAATTACAATCGGTTGTAGTATGAATGGAGAAAACATGAACATAAAACTTCAGAAAGCTTCTTAGTTCAGCTCAGTTGGAAACACAATCACAGTTCACATGACAATATTAAACTGAATCTTATGGAGGTATAGTTGATATAACTGGTAAAGATTACAGTCAAATGTCAGACCTCTGCTTTCACAGGTTCCAACCTTCAGGTTGCAACTGATACCATGGAGAAGAGCCCTTCAGTTATCAAGTGAACAGCACAAGTTATGAAGCTCCTCATTATGTAATTCATAGAGAAAGTGGTATATGTAACTGTCAGGATTGTTTGGCAGTGTGTTATTCTCTTGCTGTCCCTGTGTTGAGGAGGGCCGCACCATAGCTCAAGTGGTTAGTCAGTGGCTTCCCACCACGGCAGCCCGGGTTCGATCCCGGGTCTGGTCAAGTAGGATTTGTGGTGGACAAAGTGGCGCTGGGGCAGGTTTTCTCTGGGTACTTCCGTTTCCCCTGCCAATCTTCATTCCACCAATTGCTCCACAGTCACCCTCACCTATCACCTGGGGCTGGTACAATACGCCAGAAGTGGCCGCAGTACAAGGGACTTGGTCCCACCCCACTAGCATTAAAAAAAATATGTTGAGGAGCCCTTGTTCGCACAGCCTTACCCTTGGCAAGTAACAGTACAGACCTCTCTAGAATTAAATCTACTCTTAAAGTGTATATAGACAACATTCAAGGTCTATGAATTAACCTTGGACATAGTCTCCATTTCTTCTTATTATTTCTGTCATGTGACTCATTATACACGTAGATTCAACTTGAAGTGGCCAGTCATTCTGCGGCAATTTCTTGATACATATCACCAATGACAGTCTTGACAAAAGAATTTTAACAATGAGGTAAAGGACAATAGATGCATGTCTGATAATACCAAAGTTAGGTCAAGAGCAAGGATTGCTTCATAATTTACTTAATGAAACTCTGTCAACTGTATAAACTGTATCGAGAGGATGGTTGTGAATGATTATTTCAGAAGGATGCAATCAAGACCTCTTTTAGAGTAAAGACCCAGAATTTACTTGACGTGACCAAGTGGCTGAAAAACACTGACTTCCACACCAGGAAACAAATCCTGAGACCTCATAAATATTAAGGAGTGATAACTGAACAGTTGATAAGTTCAAATGATTTTAGTTTGAAACCCACTGTTTTGACTTCGTTTAATCTATAAAGAAAGAAAGGATTGTTGATTCTTCATGTTCATGTGTATATGTATATTTACCAAATACTGTCCTAGTGTTTCATGGAACTTCAGTCACATTATTGTATAATTTTGTAATATTCTCATTTCCACATTTCCTTCAGCTCCAGGCATTCCAACTTTAAGTTTGTCCTATAACAATTTCTTTTATTTTGCTCAGATAGCTGGTGTATGTTCATCAGGTGTGAACTTCGTTAAAGCTTATTCTTTTAGATGTACTCTAGAAAAGAAAACTTAAAGAGTATCTATTTGCTTTATATAGATAAAACTTGTTATGGTGGATTTAAATGCATTACTTAAAGT